ACCCTTTAGTGGAATTGACGCACCATCGGCTGCCGATTTCATGCTGTAAAAAGATCATCGAGAATCTAACGAATAAAACTTTACTGAATATTTGCTTGGCGGTTGAAAGCCAAAGCTCTTGGTGGCGATATATATCTAATTTTACAAATTTTCCATTGAAATTCAAATAAATACATTTTGAAAAATGAGTTTCGATTTTTTTTTATCGACAAGCACAAGATCAAAAAAGCTTTTCAGTTGTTCGCTCGCTAAGCACGTAATAAACTGTTGCTAGTCAATGTCACGAACCATAACTATTCATATTAAATTTTATTTTATTTTATATCATCGTTGCTCTTCCATTACCGTATCTGTTACGTGACCCAGAAACTTTTTATCTTGAGTAAAGGCTAAATATAAAACGCAACACTTTCCAGAAACCTTTTAAAATTTCACTTCGGCTAAGGGGTGTATAAGTTACCGAACAGGGCTCGTATCTTTCAACTGCTTGAAAAATTCAGCTCTTAATATCGCTGCATTACATACACGATGCTTATGTGCGGCAAGTGTACAACACAACTCGAGAGCAAAGTCTTACATCCTGGCGTCGCGTTATATACATCGGGCGTATACGCGCCACACGCGAATCGCTTATAAAATGGAAAATAAAAAAAATGAAAAAAACGGCCCGCAGTATCAAAGTATTAACGTCTTGGAATCGCACAATAAAATAGCGCGAGCCGCACATATAGCAATTCATGAGAGAGAGAGAGAGAGAGAGTGAGCATATATATAATACACTCGCGCGTGTGTGCAGCGCGTCGGGCCATCAATCGCGCGAGTGGCGCGCACTTTTTTGCCGCAGAGCCAGCTCACTCCGAGGCTCTGAAAATTTAATCGCCCTCCCTCATGTACACGGCGGCACTCGAGTTCGAAGCCGAAGTAGCAGCGCGCGAGGCACCTCGCTTAGCTCCTTCGCCGCGCGAGGGTGATAAATAAAAGAAGAAGAATCGCCTCTCGGGTTACCCCCGTGCGCGCGACAATGCAGCGGCGGCACGCATACCTCATGCGCGTACTGTATACGATATGTAACAACGTTGGACTGGGTTGCAGGTGTGTAACGCACGCGGGATTTTCAGGACTTCATAAAGGACATAAATTTTCCGGATTACCTGCGCCAAAAACGAGGAGCAGCAGCAGCAGTGGCGGTGCGGTGGGTATGATGGTGGTGGTGCTGCTGCTGGGGCAGAAGTCGAGAAGGTAGAAGAAAGCGTCGGCTCTTAAATAAATACCTCGGCCTGGGGAAGAGAGGGCATTTTTGTCTCTCGCGTGACTTCCTCGGCTTCGTGTTTCTCAGGAGGAAAACAATTTCATTTCCTACCTGCAGGGGGGAAAACAAAGAATACGAGTCGAGAGAAAATGATGAAAACACTTTTTCTGGCGTCGTAGAATCATGGATACACTGATAGTATGTTTTTTATAAAGTCTTGATTATAGAATTGTAACAACACTAAAACACTCATTTTCGTAAAGTATTTTCAAGCCAATACCTACTGGTAACGAATATCAACAATATTCTAAGTGTATGATTTTTCACCACATTTTTTAAAATTATCTTGATATTTTAAGTCATCTTTTTCAAAAACTTCTAATACTAAATTAAAATTATTTTATTATTCAAAAACTCAAGTACCCCGAGTAAAAATGCTTAACATTATTAAATTGTCTACTGATTAAAAAAATACCATTAAAAATCGGGATGCTTTTGGTGATTTTTTTTAATAATTATGTGAGAAATATTAATCGCATTTTAAATGATCTGAAAATGACAATTATATTTATTTTTTTCAAAAAATTCAAAACTGTTTTCAACCATTTTGAATATTGTAATACCACTTTGAGGCTTTACCACTAGATGGCGACTACCTTGAACTGCAAATCTGCAAATGCCAAAGTAAGAATAATTGTATAAGTCTAAGCAAGGTTTTGAACAAAAACTATAATACTTAATATTTTTACCGGGGTATTTGACATAAACTACTAAAAATTATCATTTTCTCAACTATCCTTGCACATACTATTTATTACTGCCGTAAGATTTCGTAATAATTCTGAAAGCACCATAATTTTCAGAAATTTTCAATATGATTCCGTGAAGCCTCGCTCTTACTCTTTCTCTCTCTCGCAAGTTGCGTACACGAAGGGGAAGGATATAAGGTTTTAAGCGAAACATCTATAAATACGTATATAGATTCTCAATAGCTCGCTGCGCGTTTCATCGGAAAGCCTCCGAGTCTATATACAGGGTTTGAAATTTACAAGTCAAGCGTTGCTGAGCCGCCGCGGCGACGAGGACCCTCTTATATAATGTTTCTCACCTTCTCTCTCTCTCGCTCTTTGGGCGCGTGTGCAAGATGGTCGCCGTGTATAGTCGTAGTCGTAGCGGTGGCAAGGAACTTTCCGACTTGATAACTTTGAGTGTATATGGCGCGCGAGCGGCACAAGGAAGGAGTCTTCCTTACGTTGCTCAACTTCGGCAAAGTCTAAAGAGGCCGAACGCAACTCGTGTACACTTTGTTTGAGAGCTGTTAGCACCGTGTATAAGGAAGAGAGAGTGAGCGAGTGAGAGAGAGCTCGGATCAAGGGGTCCAAGTATAAACGACTTTTTGCCAAGTGGTACATCCCGGCATATTTTTGTCATCATCACTTTGCGCCTTGACGATGCTTCCTTCGCTCTAAATAATCTTCATTACTTTGTCGTTTTGTCATTTGAAAATAATCAGCAGGTACACATCATTCATATTTCAACGGATTGCCTTAAAAAAAAAAAAATCGGAGAGCTCTGAAACGCATCGTGGTTCGGAATTTTTAAACTTATACCTGCTGGTCACGTCGATTTAAAAATCATGTCACGTAGCCTCGGCGTACCAATATCTACCTACGAGAAAATAATTGAATAAATGCGGCAGGCAATCTCGAGCTGAAAAAATTCCGCGGTGATTGAGTCGTTGCATAAAATAAAAAAAAATATCTTCGAACAAACATTTTTCATTACTTTACAGAATTATGTAAAAAGCTGGAGCAGGTATGACAGCGTGTCCAGATAATGCGATTTTCAAATCGTTGAATATTTAAAGTCCGTGAAACGATTGAAACTGCGCGGATAAAAGGAAACGATTTTAATGAATGGCTCTTGCACATTTGGACTCCGAATGGACTGCCGCCGACCCGGCAGATCAAAGGAGAGAGCGCAGGGGTAGAAAATTGCATTTGTTCATGCGATTATTATATGGAAAAGCCCATCGGACTAAGTGGAAAGCTATATAACACGTCGTGGGCATGAAATTCCATCGTCGGGGGAGTTTCTTTTTCATCGTCATTGTCATCTTCATTCATGAAATTGCATAAAATGGATTTTATATGCGAGGGTGCGGCGCGAGCAGCACTTGCGCTACAAGCGCCTATCTATTTGGATGTGTAATGCTTCAAGAGAGCCTCCCTGAGCGTAACATCATTACCGATAATTCAATCTACTTGTCCGCTTCTATACGCGTGTGAGTCTGACGGCAGCTTCGGCTGTAACCGTTTCTGTTCCGCCAAGGCTGCGTGTCACGGGCCAGGTGCACGCTTCTAGTTATTTTGAAAACATAACTCAAATTTTACCCGATAAAGACAAAAAATACACCTTCCCCGTAGTTTTCGAATCTCGTATGCTTATCGAGCACATAATTATTATCTCTGAATCAAATGGGGTAACTTATGGCGCTAGGACATATCCTACATACTTACATTCTACACTTTTTACACTAAAGTTTGAATCGATAATCTAATAGGTCTCTATTTTTGAAAGATTAGCTGAACTCAGTGATTAGAATAATTATTACATCAGCATTCTTCTTTTATAGAAAACTTTCTTATTTCAGATCAAAGTGCAGTGGATATCCTTATACCTAAAACTCACCTAGAATAGAAAGTCCATTTAGTTGGGAATTCAAATAAACTACAAAAACAAATGTTATACCTAATAAGAGGATTTTTTTATCACTTATTTTTTTTTTATTTAATTTCAAATCAATTATCACTTCACTTGTAACAGCAAACAATGGATCATTGAATAATTGCTATACTTAAAAACCAAAATTTTTTTAAAATTTTATTGTAAAGTAGTTTGGCTTTTTAAATAAATAAATAAATGAACGTCTTCGTACTCTGTAATCAAGCATTAAGAATGCAAAAGACCTTCTATGTGCTAGAGAAGAATTGGATGAAAAGACACGAGGCCGTGTACACGATTTAACCGAGCGCGAGATAAAAAAGTTCCGAAATAAAAAAGCGTCGCCTAATGCGTCCCAATTAGCACGAGCCCGGGTCTTCTCAACTACGAGCATAATTCGAGTGCAAGTTAGTGACGTTTCTTTTAAAATATAAACTCATCCCCCGCGACTTCCTCGCGCTTACCGGGGTCGGATTCGCAGGCAAGCTCTGCCTGAGTACGTCGCCGTAACGATGGCTAATAAAGCCGAACTGCCATAAAGTCCCGGCCCGAGATAATTTTGCAAACTCCTACTGCACGGATAGCAGTATAACCCAAGCGTAGACACCCTATACGTATAAGTGTGTGCGCCAACAGCGCCGGATAATTCGCACTCGCTTTGAACGATTATATAACTGACCGTAAAATTATGAGCTTGCCAAACGTTTAGCGAGGGGCAAGCATTTTGTGAGATAACTCGTTAAATCGATATGATTTAAATTTTAATAAGTACTTCGAGTGCGTGAAATAAACATTTGTTGCTTCGATCACAAATTAATTTTACATGCAATTTTCGTCTTCTTTTTTCTTTATTTGGAAGAAAACTTAATTATATTTGTATGCTCTTTATTAATAATTTATTCAAATGAACATTACATTTCAATATTTTTAATAAAACTTGACAGTTATTTTTGGAATTGCAATTTTAATTTTTTTTGACATCAGAATGTTTTCTTATAAATATTACATGTTGTTTATTCTACGGTGTACCGCATGACTGTGCATTTTTATATAACTAAATAAATGCAGTAGGTTTATGTACTGAATAAATATGGATTTTACGATAACCTTTTTGTGAAAATTTCTTTCCGCAAGTGTGGCATGGGTATTTGATACGATTATGCACCGAATCGATATGGAGTTTTACAGATGCTTTAAATACAAATGTCTTTCCGCACATATCACAGTTGTAACGTTTCCGATTATTATGCGATGAATCAGTATGAACAATAAGATGACTCTTTTGTGTAAATGTCTTCCCACATACATCGCAGTTGTAAGGTTTTTGACAATTATGCACTGAATCAATATGCAATTTGAGATAACCTTTACTTTTGAATGTCTTTCCACAAGTGGTACATGGGTGTTTGATACAATTATGCACTGAACCAATATGCAATTTAAGATAACGATTTTGTGAGAACATTTTTCCACAAGTGCCACACGGGTAATTGATTCCATTGTGCAACGAATCGATATGCATTTTCAAACTAGACTTTTGTAAAAATGTCTTTCCGCATACATCGCAGTTGTAAGGTTTTTGACCACTATGCACTGAACCAATATGCAATTTAAGATAACCATTTTGTGAAAACATTTTTCCACAAGTTTGGCATGGGTGTTTGATGCGATCATGCACCGAATGAATATGCAATTTGAGATAACCTCTGCTTTTAAATGACTTTCCACAAATCTCACAAGGGAAGGAAATACTCTTATGCACCGTATCAATATGTATTTTCAGACTAGACTTTAGTGAAAATGTCTTTTCGCACGTGTGGCATGGGTGCCTCATACCACTATGCACCGAATCAATATGCAATTTGAGATAACCTTTATTTTTGAATGTCTTTCCACAATTGGTACATGGGTGTTTGATACAATCATGCACCGAATCAATATGGGTATTCAAACTACTTTTTTGTGTAAATGTCTTTTCACATGTATCGCAATGGTAAGGTTTTTTACCACTATGCACTGAATCAATATGTAATTTGAGATAACTTTTGCTTTCGAATTCCTTTTCACAATTGTAACATGGGTATTTGACACGTTTATGCTCTGAATCAATGTGATCTTTCAGATTCATTTTTGTAAGAAATTGTTTCAAACATGTTTTACATTCAATTGATTTTTTACTCTTACCAACTAAAGCATCAATTTTCGCATTTTGTCCCCTGATTTGGCAGTCAGTATGTGTATCATTAATTTGTATAGTTCCACCGAGAAACTCTTCCTTCTCGGTGGCCTTTTTTTCTATTTTAATCAAGTTATGTTCTAATAAATTTGGTTTTACATCTTTGCACTCAAACTCTATTTTAATTTCTTGGTTAGATTTGAGTTTTTGAATTTCTTCGTTCTTTTTATCAGCTACCAATAAATTCACAATGGGTTTTACATCTTTGCACTCAAACTCTATTTTAATTTCTTGGTTAGGTTGAAACTCACGAATATCTTCGAGCTTTTCAAGAGTATGATTCTGTTAAGAAATTGAAATCTTGTAAAAATTAAATTAAAAACTGATTATTTTATCAATTATTTTAATCAACTTACGGTACTCTCTTGCAGACATCTGAGGTATTGCAAATGTTTTGTATCGGATGTTTGGTCTGTGGATTCACTATATTTTTTTTCATCGTAGCACATGTCATTAGCCTCTTGTTTTACACTGAAAATATTGAAAAAATTACATAAAAATACACTTAATTCATTATTTTAAATTTGTACAGTGAAAATTACATGGCAGCATAGTTGATTGCATCACTAGACTTCATTTTGTTAAACAAATATCATGAAAATTAGTTCAATAGTATTTACAAATTATGAAATCGAAATGTAAACTAGTTAACATGAGTAGAAGAAATGAGTGAGAATTTCGAGCGCTCAAGGTGTTTACAAATATTGAATAGAAATAGTACCAGCAGATGAAGGCAAGGTGGTAGAAATGTTATTAGCAAATGAAGGCGTGAGTGCAATAGCCAAGAGATATTAAAAATATACGTAAACAAGCTAAAAAGACAGCTTAATCATAGCCAGCTGTAAAAAAAAATGTCATCAATATAGACTACTACGAATTGTACTCAAAATACAATTATCATCATTAAAAAAACAAAAATTTTTAAATTGCGAGAATATGTTTAGATTCGCGAGTATCATAGCAATGGAGCGACTTTTCGGCAATTGCTCTCCATGCCCTTTCCCGATCGCTAGTAGCGTCGCAGCATCAGCCGAAACAAAAAGATTCGTAAAGGATGTGGAAGAGGTGATGTAGTGCGTTTCGTACATGACATTCGCCGTAACCGCGTACACATACGCACAAAAGATATACACATCCATCCGCACGCCGGAGGTTCGTACGTATACTCGAAAATCGCAGGCGTCATTGTGGTACAACGCCCCGCGCTGTATACGTGTGAATTATTCCTCGCAGACGAGTAGCTCGAGCGCAAGGGAGCCCACGCAAAATTATTCATAACAACGCGTGCATGTATTTTACGTATACATGTAGGATACGTATAAAATGTAAGGCGCAAGGAAGGCGTCTGGGAACTGCTCGAGTCGCGGGGAGCCTGTCGGGATATGTCAGCGGCACCGCACGCGACATGATCTTTCTTTTAATTAATCAAGCCGACACTTGGAAAAGAGACTGAAGGAGGGAAAGAGGGTGTTGTACAGGAGAAAGAGAGAGACTGAGTGAGCGAGAGTGGTGACAATCGTCGCGCTGAATTCTAGAATCAAAAGGAAATGGAATCCGAGTTCCGATTCATCCGAGAGATTTTTCGTTATATGATTTATAATATACGAATGAGGGTCTAATCCCGCGACTATTGTGGAATATATTCTTGTACTTGACAGAACTCATTTCCCGATTGCGGAGCGGGTCTCGGCTTAAAACTTACTTCGGAATAATTTATGAATGGGCATTACGCAATTTCGTATGGGCTTGGAATTTTAAATCTGTTTCGATGAATTTATTTACTTATCAATGAACGTTCATTTTTCAAGTGTATCATTTTTGTTCAAAATTTAGCGGATGATACTTTCGAAAAACTTGGACGACTGACTTCAACATTGAAACGCTCCCTTCGGTGCGATCAGACCGTCGACAGCGGCCCACGCGAGGGTACTGGGCTGTCTCGCTCGCTTTGGTTATTTTTAATTAAAACTTCAAACCTCTTTCTCTTTGCGATGGTGAGCCTCCTCGTACAAAGTCACGGCTAATGTAACGAAAAAACTTCGGAAATGTGTCCTTTGCAAGAATGCGTCATGTACAAGAGCTCAAAAAATTAAATTTTTACTAGAATGCTTTTATCGTTCGTGACTAGAGTTCACAGGCTTTTTTTAATGACATTGAAAATTCTTGGCTAAATTTTAATATTATTGGTTAAAATTTGTAGTTTTTTTTTTTGTAATGATGCAACACATTGACAGATATACAATCAAAATTGAAAAATTCACAAAAATTCAGCCTTGATGATTTACTAAATAAAAGCATCCATTGTTTTGACATTTCCTGGTTTATGTAACTTATTGTTTCACAGAAAATTTATTCAATGGTCAACAGATTTTGGCGTTTTTATATTATGCGACTTCATACTTTTTCTATATTATGGAATTAAATCAAACCACTTTTTTTTTAAATTTGACTATCGATAAAATCAAAACAAATTTACTATCAAACTTTATAAATATTTTGTTATCAAATGATTCGCTTGAGGTACTTGTCCATAATTGTTATAATATTTCTTGGGGCAAGGACTTTTTGTAAAATCATTTAGTTTATCGATGTAATCTGCTACGGTGGGTTGCGTCTTCATTCGTCAAACCCTCGAGACGTTTGAGCTATATTGTACGCACTACTGGAGTTTTCGCTAATTGAATTATTTCGGAAACACGATGGGTACCTAGACTGGAGGTGCTTTCAAGATCCCTCGGCGGACCGTACGTTAATGATTCTAATGTTTTAGTGCCTCTCCGTAGGCGAACGAAATGGTTCATTTACACAACTAGTTTACATAAACTGGTCATAAAAATGATCGCTTCAAACGACGTGCATATAATGCATAGCTTTGAAAATAAGTAGAAACGATTTCCGAAATTTATCATTTTTTATTTTACAAAGAATTCATAATCTATTAATCAATTGATGCTCAATGAATAACGATTACTATTTACCTGAATTGCTAAATAACGTTTTCGTATAATTTCTAGAAAACAGTCATTAGCTTTAAATTATTACTTTGTAAGCGAATTTAACTCATATTACAATTTAACAATGTACATTACATTAATGTATTCGATGTTGGTGTTTTTAAACTTCCAGTGGAAGAAAATTGAAATGGATTTTGTTAAATATCATTCATATAAGTGATACCTTACGAGTCAACTGAAATCCAATTAAGAAATAACAGGGTAATGGTAATTTTATAAATCCATTGTTAACAGGTACTCAGTGCGAGTTATTTTAAACTTCATCTTGTATACTAGTTAAATTTCTAAAAATATTAACATTTTTTGCCAACTAAAGTCAAGAAAAAAAATTAAAATTATTCCTTTAATTGTAAATAAACTTTTAATAATTTATCCATAAATCACTCACTTGATTTATTATTCCATCAGCTTCATCTTTTCCCCAAAATTCATCTTCTGGGTAATCATTCTGAATAACTTTGTTATTGCTATGAGATAGATAAGTAGTATCATTTTCGCGAATATTTTTCTTTTTTTCCTGATGGATAGATAGGACCAACTTCTGCAAAACTTCATTTTCTTTCTTCAAATCTGTCACCTTGAAATAAATATTTCTCAGTAATGGTAGAAAAAGACATTTTGTTGATACTTGGCAATACTCACGGTCTGTTGCAGAGTTTTCGATTTCATCGAATAATGATAAAGTTTCATCTTTAGTTGGCTATTTTTATAATACATATCTTGAAGTTTAGATTTAAGTGCATCCATGCCATTTTGAATGTGTTTGATATACTTCAAGATCGATTTCATGAAACTTGTTTCGAGCCTGGCTATAGAAATCTTTTCGAGGCATGAAAATACACTCTCCGATGCAACTTCCGTGGAGCTAGCTTTTTCATAATCTTTCAAGAGATCTTCCAAATTTTTGTCCAGACGATCGACTCTAATTTCAATTACGCGATCGACGATTTCTGGTCTAATTGCCATTACTACGGTGAAAAATGTAACGTCTTAAACTCCTAGTATCTACAAACATTTAACGAGCATACTTACTGCAATAAATTTTTTATTAGCAAGACGCCAATTATTTTGATGATAAATTTTTTCGAAATTACTTTTCGATCAAATGTTAACAATTAAAACATTTGGTAATGAAGTTGATAAATATATTAATTGACTCATTCCAAGTATGTGTTGATCACGACGACGATATACATACTCAATGTTTCACTCTTGCTTGTACCACAATGAGCTCACAGAGTGTTGAACATATCAAACAAAGTAACTGCGAATAAATACAGCGAATTGATTTATTCCATATTATCGAATATAATAGTTTTTGAACAATTTTGTAAATCTATCTATTATTAAATTCTGAGTGTATATCTATTGATGCATTTTTTAACTATTTGCGATTTTCTAAAATACGTAATTCATTCAATTTTAATAAATATTTTTAAAATAAAAATAATCGGGTTGCTATGTTTCAGGAGGAATTCGTGTACTGGCATCTGTGCGATTGACTGCGGATAATAAGTCGATAAATCAAATTACCACAAATTTATTTTATCGACAGTAGGCTACTTACCTGAAGTTTCGTATCGCTGGACAGGTAAACTCCCAAATGTTTTTTATGACTTTGAAAATTGTATTTATTGATGTAATGTTCATCGTGGCACGTTTTTTTAATAATCATCTCGTGAGTGTCTTCCGGCGTATGCCTAATGCCTGTGTATATTGTAACACGTCATACTTATTCGCTTTTCTGTGTGCGTGTTTATAATGTAATAATGTGCGCTATACTGCGGTTCTCGCAACGAGGAAGCGAGAGAAAAATACAAAAAGGTGGGGGCCTTCGTACACATACTGTATATATACTTTTACAACCTATGTATAAACACGTTCGATTCTCCAAAGTGACTGTGCGCGCTTTTCTCTTTATCTTCGCATCAGGTGTAGGCGCGCGAGCGAGCGAGGCGTGCTCGAGAATCGAACTCAACGTTGTATAGTTTAGTTGGTGTGTGTATACACACTCGCGAAAATCGCGCGACCGACAGTGCAGCTCCTCGCCGCGATCGTGTGCACAAGCAGAGAACCTTTTTTTTTGTTGCTCTCGTCTGTATATGTACAAAACAACACTGGGCCTCGGCTCTCTCTCTGTCGCGGGTCTTTCGGAGCTGAGTGACTGCAGTGACAATCCGTGAGTGTATTTTGTTTGTGTGCAGCTGTGCCCACTCGATATACACCGATAATCGGCCGCAAAGCTAGTGATCAATTAACAAAGATCGTCTCGACGTCTATTGTATATGTTTGGTCATCTTAACGAAGTGTACCAAGCACGAGACCCTGTCTCCGTACCCAACGCCCATCTAACCGTCTCGTCGTGAAGGTAAGCCAGACAGGGAATTCTAAGATATATTTGCTGTTGACTCGCGGTGCATTATTATACATCATGTGTTTCGCACGACATAATGACGAGTGCCAGAGTATACGAGCGCCCACCATCTTACTCGGATGGCCCCTTGCGTATATTGTGTATATGACGAGCCAGTGACTGGCTCGAGTGCAGAAATTGATAAACCTGGCTTGCTCCTTTTTCTTTTCTTTTTTTTCTTTCTTTCCATTACGTGTCAGAGGTTCTTTTACGCTCTCGCACCTGCCTGCCTGCTGCTGCCTGCCAACGGTCTGTGTACGATGTAACAGAGCTAATATACCGTTCGATGTTGAGGTTATGTTGCTCCTTTTTTTGCTGCTACACGACTCCTTTTGCATAATTGAGGAAAAAAGTAATTATTAACCGAGCACCCGATCGAGGCAACGATCTTTTAATTCGAACTTTTTTTGACATTTTCTTTCGAGGGACGGTAAAATGTTATAAATCACAAGTCAATAACTTGATATACAATAGAAAAAAAAGGAGTATAGGTGATGAGTCATTGACTTTAGTCCAGGGGCCTCTGAAGATTTAATCCTTACTTTGCATGGACAAATCCTCGTAGTAAGTTTCGTTAACTACTTTCCTTTCCTTTCCTTTCGCTAGGAAGGTAATTATTGCATCTACGACGGCAAAGTTGACAGCTGCCGTCGTACACATAAATTCTCTCGCGTTCGTAGATTCGGAACAAGACAAGTTATATTTTACTTACCCACGCCGTAAAAATCATCGAGCATGACCGTTGGAATATCTACATTGTGTGCAGTGAATGATAAATAAAAATGTCTAGTTGGTGTGTAAGAGGTTAAGACTGTAATTAAAAAAGTACTAGTTTTCTTTGACATCTTCTTTGACTTATAAACTAGTGACACCTGAATTAAAGTTATTGTTTTTATATAAAAATAATATGGTAATTTTAAAGTACATTTTTTTAATGTATAATCTTAATCATATACTATTAGACTACCTAAATCATACAAATTTTACTCTATTATCTAAAACTGTCACTTAAAATAATTTAAAATTTGAAATACGCCATGTAATTAAAATTTTATACACAATTATTTTTTATTCTGATATAATCTAGACAGTTATAATTGAATGTTTTGAGAATGTAGACTGTAACATTTATTGCTTTCACATATTTTTTGACATTTACTTATATTTCCTTTGACATTCATAACATTAAATTTCTAAAATATTCAGTTAAATGCTGATTGCATAGAATGATTTAATGTTTATCATTCAAAATAATATATGAATAAAGACTCATAATAACATGCTTAACATTTTGTTGCGCTATTTCATTATATTTCAATATGTATTACTAACTAATATTCACATCAATTTATTATTTTTTCATGAAATGAAGTGATGTTAATTATTAGCTTATTTTCTTGTAAATATCATTGGATGCTTGAAATTTTTTTGAAATGGTTTGCTATTTCAAATAAAATTCCTTTAAATATTTGGAATTGGTGCTAGAATCATTCCTGATACATGTGTATTTTATGGCATACTCGTCTTGTACAAATAACATTCCAATTTTCTGTTAATTTCCACTCTGTACTATGTCTGCCTTTTCTCTTCCCCATGCATCAATAATAATACCATTGACCTTATGCCTGCAAAGTGTCTCTTGCATTTGTAATTTTATATCACCTATCAATTCAGATCTTGCCATTGCAGGTGTTTTAAGGGATTCAAAAATATTTTTAAAAAATGTTTGCTCTCATCTTATGACGCCTTTTTTAACTTATTTATAAAAAAGTAAAATTTAAATCAGTTTATACTTGCATTTATAAAAATTATAAAATTATATGACATTTTTGAATCATTCAAAGAATAGATTATTCATCGAGAATAAATTTTTCGTAATCGACCCGTTTTTTAGTAACTGTTTTAAAAGTTCAGGATGAACCTAATGTTACTTGTGCATATCAACTTGATATTTCTTCAGGACGCATCGAGGTCGCACGTATCATAAATATGCCTCGATCAAAATGACACGATGCACGCGACACCCGGTGGCGCATATAATACATGCAAATCAGGAGTGTCGACTATAAACTCGGTGAATGTAATACATTCCGTATAGCGCAGATGGATACGGCGTGTACGATAAACGAAGTGACACATTTGTATCGAAGCTAATCTACTGCGAGAAATTTATGAGTGAACTCTGATGCTCCGTTGTCACGATCAAGACTCGATCTTATTGTACGAATTCGATATTGAGTTATTGGCCTGACACTCTTTCGTTCTTCGAACGTAAAAACAACACTTGACAGGGACAATCGTATGTGTTTATGCTACCGGAAACAAGTGTTCCGGAAAAATGAACGTGTAAACGTTTACACTGTAGCAGAGATTCGAAGCAATTAAATAAACGTTTAGCAAAGCTAGGCCGATCCCAAACCAGACGCACGCTTCTGTTCAACGAGTCGTGCTCGGCACATTTACTTCAAGTCGTATAATATCGTGCTAATTGTGCGCGTATAAGCTCACGAGGAGTGATTCATAGAAGACTCGACTTGTTGTCGTGCCTGGTATAGGCGGCTTCGATGTATTTATTGATATGTACGAACTATTTGCCGAGCGCGACTTTCTTTTATTACGGTATGCACTTTTACGTATGCGATCGCGCATCGGGGCGTCAAGTCAATTACCGAGGAAGAGAAGTAAAAAAAAAAATTAGAAATTACCCGCGACCCAGAGTTTACGATCGTCTGCGCGTTGAGCCTCGATCGACAGGTTGGTTGTCAAAGCCTCGTAGCGTGCGTCCGTTGCGACAATTAGAGAGATTTACAAGGCTCATTTGAGCGTTGTTTATACGTACACTGAAAAAAAGTTTCGACCCAATGTCGAAGAAGTATTTTCTAATGAATGAAATAATTGTTCGGTACATTTTCTTTTTGCGCAAAAAGCAAAAGAGAGAAAGATCAATCAGCGACTTTCTGGCACAAAAATGTACAGAAGCTTCATCTGGGGAGCAATACTCGGAGCGATCTCGCGCACAAAAATGCAGTCGAAAAGCACAGCAAGACTCGCGATTCCCATCTCTCGAGTCCGATCTTAAAATAACGCATGTAAGTATCGCTCCTTACGAAGAAAGGGTTGCGAATGTATTTAGAGATTGAGTCTCAAGTTCTCAAGATCGCGAGTACTACTTCCCCGTTTACTCTCGTTAATTGGCTCATCATTTTACTACCGAGTTCGTAGGTAGGTGTTGCAATTTGTGTAATGAGCGTACGAGCTTACGGCGATATTTATCTTCCTATCGAGCCTCGTCGCTTGAAATTATATCGACGTCGATGGATTCGTGGTACACGCGTGCATCGTTTACCATTAGATTCGTGGGAAGTGATAATGGAGGCATCATAAATTTCGATCGAATCGATCTTCCTTTTCATTATAAGCTGACTGAAAGTTAAATGTACAAAAGTAACAAGTTTTTTCTACTATTTAAGCACAAAAGCTCGAAGTTCTACGATAATAAATGCTTCTGAAAGTAAAGGGCATTGACCTCAGGCGAAACTTTGAATATTAACGCCCTCGCGAGATTATGATAAATGGCCTTCCAGCTGAAAAATAACACGTCGTTCATCGCTTGTTTAACACGTGAGATTTGTTTATTCTAGAAGCTCGTACACGATCGAGCATCGCAAGCAACGTTTGAAACTTGCACGAAGCTTCGCAGCTTTGAAAATTCAAATATCCCATCGCAGACAGTGAGCACACAGATAATATATAGTTCCATATACACGCTATACCGATGTATACCTGCGATTCAACTTCCAACTCGCGACAAGTGCAAAGTACCGCTTGTGTGCGTGTGTGTTTGTGGCGTTAAGGGCGCATGCGCTCGTGGGGTCGACGTCGTCTTCGTCATCGTCGTCGGTTCGCCCCCCTTTTTCAACAAACAGCCGGAGCGATACGCTCGTGTATATCTATGTGTATGTGTACGGCGCTACTAGGGGTTGCCCTGCTGCTGCTGCTACTGCCAATGCTACTGCTGCTGGCTTTCCTTTTCTCTCGATGCTCGTTTGCCAACACTATATTGCCGAGAGCCCCAGTGTACGAAGTATAAAACGCGCGCGACGTACGCGCGCTACACGCACTCGCTTCCATCCATCCATAATAAACGATATTTTAGCATAAACAAAATAGCATATCGTACACGCGTGTGTACGATACAATTTATTTTCTCGCATCGAGATAAAACATAATACAATATTTTCGTGCGTAACTTTATCCTCATCTTAGAGTACAAAATATTTCGCCCTAAATAAGCGGAAAATAATACAAAAAAAAAAAAAAAAGAATAAGATATACTTACACTTGTACAAAAACGAAAGAAGACTGCCTGGAGCGTGACACGAGTGCATAAATAACCAAGTAAATAGATACGTTATACAGTGAGAGAAGTTCTGCGTATATGTGCGTGCGAGGTATACCGTTGTAATATAGCATATATGCACGCGTCGTCGTCCGTCCGTCCGTACGCAACGTCAAGAGATAATTTTTCGGAGGGGGTGCACACAGTGGTAGTGCACACACACGCTATACAAAAGTGAGAAAGAGAGACGCTCTCGTGTATGGCAATATACGCATACGAGTAGCGCGCGTAGGTTCAGTGCTCTTGGAGAGACCCTGGTGATCGATATAAGATTCTCGACTTCCTAGTCTGACATCTTGAGAGCGAGGAAAAGCTCCCCGAGCTCCGACAGCGAGAAAGATACGGAGAAGAAAATCGTCGTTTTTACGAGACATATATTATATTTTTTATACGTCACACGCTTCACGCAAAATTCCACAAGGCCACGAGTTCGTGTTTATACAACACGCCAGTATAACATTTAGAGAGATATAGAGATACAGTGAGAGCAAAAAGTAAAAGGGAGCCAGCGGGCAGACTCGATCAAAACGACTGTATATACACGCGCGCAGGGCGAGCGCATAAAATCGACTTTACCAATGGGGAGGACGGATATGTCAAAAACGCTCAATGCTTACAGGATGTGAGTATATATAACAAACGCCGCAGTGTGTGTGTCGTCTCTTTCCAGCTGCTTATATACACTTTGCACCACCGCGCCGCTTCTTTTCGAAACTTTCAACTCGTTCCTGGGCCACGCGCGCTCGTGGCAATTATTGTTTTCCCTAGCGAGTCATGATCTTGCGTCTCACTGGAGATTAATATACGTCTTTCTTTTTTCCCTTCTTTTTAAACTTTTATCGCCTCGCTTCGAATGAGAAAAAAAAAAGAACTTTCCTTTTTCATTCGCATTTCACGTAAACATAGTTTCGTTGCGATCAGGTTTGTAAGTAGATTGAAATATTTTTGTAACAGTTTCGCGCTGTAATCCAACGTTGAAAGATGAGAAAAAAATGCATTTAATAATATAAGAGGATAATATTCGTCAAACGTCGATGAGCTTTAGCACTGAGCGAACTTCGTAATAATTAACTTTCATTTAATCAAGCGTTGAAAACTTGATTTCCGCCCAACAACTAATTGCAGCATATGGAAACTTTTAGTACTGCGATTACAATTAAAATATTAAAATATCCGTTATCCGTTAAGATTGAAAAAGAGAATTAACAAGTAAAGTATTCGAGAATATTTTCCAGGATATCTGGAATAAATTCTAAAAGTTTTCCCGTTCTGCGTGAACAGTGTATTTTAATTCTTATTAAATTATCTGCTCGAAATTAAAACGTTGGCTGTGTCAATCATAGAAATTAATATGAAAATTTCTCATAAGTTAAAACCCTAGAAAAGTAGTCTAACCGCATTTCAAGCGTATCTCATCTTGCAACCACAATTTCCGGAGCGGAGACGGAGTATATATAGTTGATAATTTCCATCAGTTATCTTTTCAACTCAAACCTTGAATAAAAATATTGAATTCTCGTTACACATTCAATAAAAACTTTGCCAATTGCTGTTATATATTTCTCACGTTATACTACCATAAACACTTTGTATATTAAAAAATAAACCAATTTTTGTCCTTTACGGACGCTCTGCAACGCGACGTAATTTAAAACGGCTTCTACACAAATTATGCAATGGCTTTTCGTAACCGAGACACTTGTAGTTTTGCTCTTATGTAAGCAGATATTTACGCCGACGATTTTCATTGCTTCGAATATTGCTCGTCCTAATACATATTACCTGCATGACAGTTGCCTTATAGGCAAGCACACCATCGTTTGTTATCTCATTTCATTAACACAACATTTTTTTCATCTTCACGAACCATTGACTTATACCGCCTGTCTCACACGTATGGCTTCACTCGCATGTCGCTTGGTGTAACAATATATGCACGAAAAAAACTCATATTTTTCATCTGCTACGGTCGATTGATATTTAAAATAATTTTTACTCTGACTCAACGAATAGGTGCGAGCCGCTCCTTTTATTCGATTCCAAATTGTAGCAAAGAAAAATAATTAGAGCAATAATACTTTCGATGTAAGCAATATTTATAAAGCGACTCGAATGTCCTTCTGAATCATATAACATCCATCTTGGCAGAAAAATACAAAATCTCGCTGCCGCTCGAGGTCAGAGCATGTCTGGGAAAAGATCGGCTTTACTTCTCGTGCATGCATACAACATGTGCACTCGTCAGCAAGTCGGCAGGATTTGCTTGCGTGAACGCCGCGCTTGTGCATGTGCATGAAACACACGTATGCATATAACGTGAGAATTGCTGCTCCTCTCGTACTTATCTGCATCGAACGAAGAGATCGAATACCGACGTTGATTCCGTCTTCGTTATTTTTTAGCTCCTCGAGAGTAATATTAAATGAAGCATATTATATTTTTCGATTGATGCTTCCAGATAATATTAAATAATGATGCCATTCTTATGATTTTTTTCAAAACTTGTACATCGCTTACATTATATTGCTTTTAATTGTCGTTCGTATTACGCATAGAAATTCTTATCTTCTTTTTGAACGAATCGACCTCTGGCCAAAAATTGTTGTTCAAATTTCACGTGTACCTCGCATACGTACTTCCGTTTTTATCACGTCCCATATGATATCTCGCTATAGACTCAAAAATGGTCTAGCGCATGCGTGGTTTTATTGATAAGCCGGGCATAGGAAAAGCCGCTCTGGCTTGCCACATACTCATACCCAGTAGATATGTATATAAAGTAGCCCTAACATGGGGTAAGTTCGCATTTTCCTCGCTTTTGCTTCTGCTTTAATTCCATCACTCTGATTTCGCATTCCTCTCTTTACTTCCTTTCAAAAAACGAACGAAAGACGAAACTCTTAAGCCGATTCATCTTTTATTTTTGTCGAGAGTTACGAAGGGATTTGCGAGGTACTGCGAGTCAAACGCATTGCAACTAACACAACGACGGCTCTCGAGACACCGCAGTGATTTCCTTCTTTGTTTTCTTTTTTTTTCGTCGAATAATCCCACGAGTGCGAATGGCTTAAGTCTGCTAAATAAGAGGCAAAAAGTTGACAAAAATAAGTACCTTGACGGGCTTCTGTAACACGAGGGTGTGTACGATATACGTTACTTGTGCAGGCAGCAATAATAAACGTGACGCATCGACGATCGATAAATTGCGCTTTAATTTACGGGCTGTGCCTACTCATATGGAGTTTGCCTGTTATTATCGAAAAGTGATCGAATTTTGGCTTGAACTTGGATTACTCCCCGTTTAATCATTTCGTGCGTCATCATTTTTTCCCTTTGTCGGATCTTTTTTTACTCTCATATCAGACTTTTTAGATAGCAATCCAAGGTGTATTTACGTCGTTTTTCACTCGAAATCTCATCGTTTGATATTTCATAATCAGCTTTTATTTTTGATTCAAAAACATAAAAGACATCAAGTAAACACTGCTATAAGAAACTACAACTATTTGTTTCGGAGGCGTTACTTCGAAACAAGTTCACATTCAAGCTCGTACAAGTGATAAATTTTACGACATTGACCTACATGCGTTTGTCGAGAGTAAAGGGTGTGAAGGCAGTATGTTGTATACAATTTGATGATATAATATGAAACTCGTGCTTTCGCATATTTCATATGTTTTTTTTGTTCTAATTTATTAATTTACATTTTGTAAACATTCTGACAACTAGAAACATGTTATTTCGAGGTGATACTAATGTAAATTATTATTTTTTTTTTCAGCAAAAAGATCGAAAACATCGGGAGAATGACGGCCATGACTCAAGAAGAAATTGTGGCCGGCGCCCGCACGGTCGCCCAGGGCCTCGAGGCTCTCCGAGTCGAACACTCGGGCCTGTTGAACGGCCTACAATCTCAGGAAGCGCCAGCCGCGCGCGACAAAGCTGGCCTCATTTCGAAGAATATCGAGATGATCGAGCTGGGTCTGGGCGAGGCGCAGGTGATGCTCGCCCTGGCGAGTCACTTACAAATGGTCGAAGCCGAGAAGCAAAAGCTCAGGACGCAGGTTCGAAGGCTGTGTTCGGAAAACTCCTGGCTGAGAGACGAATTGGCTGGCACGCAGCAAAAACTCCAAGCCAGCGAACAAATGGTACGTTGATTGCACGACGTTGACAGATATTTTAATTGCAAAGAAGAAATACACTTTGACGATTCTTTGTTTACTGCTGTATGCGTCGTTGAATGTGCAGAAGATACTTTCTCTACATTATTTTGCAATGCAACTGTCATTTGTTCAGTGTAATACAACTTTAATTTCACGTTCACTCATCATTCATAGTCGTGAGAATCCTCGAGAGAAAGTACCTCATTCATAATTAATAAAAGATTCTTGTTGCACGTAGTAATTCGCAATAACTAGTTGCACGATGCAGGAATTCATTAGCAAAACTAGCGAATCTTTCATTATACAACGATGTATTAACAAAGATTATTATCATTAAATGATGACTTACAACTGTATTAATTTTGAGCTTCATAATTTTGTCATATTATTAAAATCAACAGGTGGCACAGCTCGAGGAAGAAAAGAAGCATTTAGACTTTATGGCCAGTATGAGACAGTACGATCCAGAACCAACGGCAGATGACGAAAACGCAAAAGACAGACCGAAAGATGATCCAGTCGTTGACCTGTTTCCGGATGATGAGGCTGAGGAGCGAAACAGTAAGTGTATGTAGTCGGACAAAGCTTCTCTTTTATCTATCAAGCACCCTTGGTGAATGTTATTTTTCGGGAATAAACTTTCTTTGGCTCCTTGTTCTTATTGTAAACATTTTGCAAATACACACTTTTTTCCTTTATATAAAGGCACTGTATACTAGAAGTAGAGAAATTAACTAACAATTTTTAGCGTACTTATGAATAAGTGCAAACTTGATTTTTGGTTCCTAGTATCAAAGTTATGGATATAATTAAAATTAATCCCTTTATAAACATAATTATAAGTTTTAAAATTCTATTAGCTGTTAAAATTCACTTTCACAATCAGAATAGAAACAGAAGAATCATTGTATAAATAAATATGTTGAATTTTTTTTACAAAAAAAAGTTTACCTAAAATGTACATTTGCCCAAGGTGACACTGTTACTTGGTTGACAGTATTGAATGACAAAATCCTTTTCTTTTTCAGCTATGTCTCCGACTCCCCCGTCCCAATTTGCCCAGCAGGTCACTGCTGGATACGAAATACCGGCCCGTCTGCGAACACTACACAATCTCGTGATTCAATACGCCAGTCAGGGTCGTTACGAGGTCGCCGTGCCACTTTGCAAACAGGCACTCGAAGATCTCGAAAAGACCTCGGGCCACGATCATCCAGACGTGGCGACTATGCTCAACATACTCGCGCTCGTTTACAGAGACCAGAACAAGTACAAAGAAGCTGCGAATTTGTTAAATGATGCACTGGCTATAAGGGAAAAGACTCTGGGTGAAAATCATCCCGCTGTCGCTGCAACACTCAACAATCTTGCTGTTCTCTATGGGAAACGAGGTAAAACAAATTTTTAACACGTTTTACTCTTGCTTCGCCGCACAGATCTTCATACATTATTTATATGCAGGCAAATACAAGGAGGCAGAACCTTTGTGCAAGCGAGCTCTGGAAATTCGTGAAAAAGTACTGGGACGCGACCACCCCGACGTGGCCAAACAGCTTAACAATTTGGCTTTGCTTTGTCAAAACCAAGGAAAGTACGAAGAAGTCGAACGTTATTATCAACGAGCTTTGGAAATTTATGAGGCGAAATTGGGCCCTGACGATCCCAATGTGGCCAAAACGAAAAACAATCTCGCCTCTTGCTATCTGAAACAAGGAAAATACAAGGATGCAGAGGTTCTGTACAAACAAGTGCTAACAAGAGCTCACGAACGAGAATTCGGAGCTATCGACGGAGACAACAAACCTATTTGGCAGGTTGGTTGTTCTGCTTAATTTTGCGATTTCTGAATCTCATTTTACATATAGAATTTATTTCACTTTGCATTTTAAAATATACCAAACTCGATTCTCGTTTGTAATTAATAAAATTTTAAAAAATATTTCAGGTTGCCGAAGAACGAGAAGAAAACAAACACAAAAATAAGGAAAATGCTCCATATGGAGAATATGGAGGCTGGCATAAAGCTGCAAAAGTTGATTCACCTACGTTTAATACTACTCTGAAAAATCTTGGCGCACTTTACCGACGACAGGGTAAATACGAGGCTGCTGAAACGTTGGAGGATTGTGCAATTAGGTCTCGAAGAGAGGTAGATTCTTTTATATAATCTATTTCTAGATTTAATTAACGTTTAATAAATCGACACGGTTAATAATTAAGATAATAATCACCATGAAAACGTTATAATCCTTTTTTCGAGAGCATTATGACAAACCATTTTCAACTCATTGAATGAATGACTGCTAACAAAAAATGCATCAATTTTTGTTGTTACAAGCAGCTTGTCCAGCAGGTGAGTGACAAGCCGAATGTGAAAGTGCAGAATGTATGCTCCATGTAATATGATCTATAAATCCATCTCACTTTTAATCTATTCGGACATGAAAAGTGCTTTTTACAATAGAGTCATATTCTAAAATTACTCAAATCTTTGTCCGAAAAGATTTCACATCATTTTAGAATGCTTCGAACTCTTATTTTTTCAATGTTACAAATTCGAGATCTCTCGATTTTTTGTATATTTTGTAATTTCATATCGACACTAACTGCAAAAATTTATATGTAGCGATAAGGCCTGCGTACCTACTAATTATAATTAACTTAGTATAAGAGGGTTTGCTCTAACACTTGAAGCGTGTGTCAATAAGAAAAAATTATAACATATTTGTTACAACGAAATTATACGAAAACATTAAAATAAATCGATTTTCAATAAATACAAAGATATATCAGACTTAATTCTTAACACAGCCATGTAAATTTTTTAGTTTCGTTCTGTGCTCACTTTTTAATATTTGTTTTCGTTCTACTGCGTTTTATATGGGTTTATTCAAATTTTATAAGTTTCGTTTCCTTCCTTATTGTACATTTTTATATTTTGTCAATGTTTTCGTTTATTAAGGTGTAAATCGTTGTAATTATTTTATTTTGGCACTGATGATTTTCTATTATTTTTAAAAAAATTAATTTTAAAATTCATAATTTTAGATAAGGTAACAAACATTAACCATAAAAACAATACAGTAAATTTAATTAGGAATACAGACTCTTGAAATTTTCTGAATTCAATAAATGTACAGCTCTAATGATAACTAAATATTTTAGATCTAATGCTTTCTAATTGTTTCTACAAATTTTTCTTGATCATTAGTTTTTAATATTTTTCATTTGTTATATGTGTTTCCCGTTAAAAATATTAATTTTTAGAATCTCAAACAATTTATATGTGTATAGATATTTGAAAATGTATTCGTAATTCAAAAATTTTTTAAAAACGATCATGAAAGTCAGCATGAAAATAAAATTTTCAATTCCATTTTCGGAAACTTGTATAGAATATTTTCTTAAAAGAGGTGGGTTTCATTTCGATATTTTTTGAGACACCATAAAAACTTTCAAAGTAAATATTCAATCGACGTTTCACGAAACGGGATGGAAAATTAAATTTTTGCGCTTTCTTAATAACTTGCTGTGCATTCGCTTATTTATATCTTGATTTTTATATGGTTTTAATGAAAAAACTGATCTTGATTTAAAACAAAATCCTGTACCAACATGTATCACTTGAGCATGTTTTTTATGTAATGTCAAGCATGGTTTTAAATTATTTCATTCGTCTGTACACCTACTATTTCTGAATTTAGGCTTAAACGTTATTATTAATTAAATACATCTTTTAAATAGGCATTGGACTTGGTAAAACAACCAAAAGTGGCGCAAATTTTGAGTGACGAGAAAGGATCAAATCGACGCAGTTCGAGGACGAGTTTGACAAATAGTGAGCACGAACACGACGAGGTAAGTTAATACGCTTCATCATTCGGTAACTCGCTATGAATGTTCATTTTCACTTTCAGTCGTGTACAAAATATTTCCACAATTTCATCCTATGTTATTGTTATTTTCATAAAAATTTTTATTATGTCAATGTTCGCATTAAATATTAGTAATAGCTTAGTTGTTTTAGAATCAATAGACACTCATAGGTATAGTGATACTCATATTAGCACTGCATGTCTGTTAGAATGAGTTTAACACATACATACGCAAAACGATACCTTACATACATTTTTAATTTATTACCACAACAAATTTTTTAATGAACAACATGTAAAAACCAATCGATGTTCCAAAAAAGGGCTCCATGCCAATGGTACAAAGGTCACTGATGAATGATGGACAGACTGGACACCAAGATAGCCCTAACAAACCTGGTTTTAAAAACAAGATATTTCACGTTTTTGGCATTCACCCCTCTACGTAGGACATAATATTATCGATTTGTTTAATTTTGTATATCACGTATTTTTTCTTTCCATTTGTATTTTTTTCAGTTTATCGGGTTTCAATATGTCAAATAACTGTACCAATTTAAATGTATGTTTTTTGCCGGAAGTGAAAAAAATGATTTTTTTATTCTAGCCAAATCAATCTATTTGTATGTTGAAAAAATATAGAGCTATATTTATTGATATACGAACAGGACCTTAGCGTCCATAACATGTTCTCGAAAAGTAAATATAAATAATGGAAAAAAATTGTAGTTATTAGGTGAAGTAAAAAGAAATTAAAAATATTTTTACATTAATGAGAATTCATTCTTAATTATATGTAATTTTTATTTTTATTTTACGGAAAAATTACGCGAATAGTAAATAAAGCTCTGCATTTTTAAGAATTTTTCAAGTATACAAATGGTGCATTGTTATTTGATAAAAAATTGTTAAAAAGCATTTTTGCTTTTTTCTTGTTGTTTTAATACTCTATACTTGCTTCCATAAATGATTAGGTTAATAACAGAGAGAAGTCTTCCGTACAGACCTTTCCTTGCCAGGAAAAAATGTGATGATAGTTTGGCTTTTAAATATTGTATAAAGTATTTCAAATTTTGGTTCTTATACTTTAAGTATACGTTTAAACAATATTTTGTGCTGACTACAGTTTATTTGATAGTACAATTTTTAATGTCATTCTGTTATAATGAATAAGTTTTTATCAATAAGTTTGTCGGAGATCAATTTAATACCCCCTGCATAATAATTATTTCGAATTAGGTGATTGAAGTTAAATAAAACGCATTAATGTTTGTGTAGTAACGTACAGTATGCAAAGTAGTGATTTAATGTTTTGATTTTTTAACCAGTGAAGCATTGTAAATTTTTGATAAATTTATTGTAACTATTGTATAGTAGAAAAATAATTGTATGCATTAATTTCATTGATTGAATTTCACCTTCTACCAACTTAATGATGTTTTGCCTGGTCCATACCACTCGAGTTGTAGATGAAATGAAATAGTGCTTTGTTTATACAGTTGATTATTATTTTACCATGAAGTAGTTTTTTGTGCATGAAAAGGCATTTGAAATACTTATCTTGAAGATCATAGCAAAATAATTGTAAATATAAGCGTGATACCGAGCTTGCTCTATATGATTTATACCAGATAAATTTCATATTTGAAAAATGACTATTATAAAATTTGTAAAAAATGTATTTGTTAATAAAAATTAAGAACACAATATTCAAAGTGTCCTTGTTGTTTACACTAATCAGGGTGAACTACACTGAGATCCTATTTTACATGGCTAGGTTACACACAAAATTGTAGTATTATGGTTGTGGTTAATTAAATTACTTACTGTATGGTAGGTATTATAGATTCTAATATTTAAAATTATTATATTCTAAGAAATTCATGTCAAATACTAACTCTGTTAATCAAATTCTTCAATTTTCACATTCAAATATGTTTTAATTATAAAAAATGACTAAACTTCTACTATTTCAGTACGTGTATTTAAATATATAATTTTTATTTATTATTCGTTTATTATTCGTAAAAGTAAAGTTATGCTGTAAGATTTATATTTATATTGTTTACTATTGGGTCAATACTCGATCAAAATGTGATAATATAACATAAAATGAGAGCATATACTTCAGTGTAGTTTTCCCTGGAATTTTTTGCTTGTTTATTAATTCATGACAGATGATTGATAAAATAGGTCGTTAAAGTATATTTTCACCTTATCGTGTATAAAACATGAATATTTAAAAAATACATGTGTTTGATATTTCAAGAAGTAGAATTATAGATGTCCCTAAGTGTTTATTATTATTTTGAATATTTTGAGCTTTGTAAAATTTGAGCATTAGTATGCGTAGGCACGTGAAACAAAAAAAGATAAAAGAAAGCTTTTTGGATCAATTGGTGCAACAGAAGACCAAAGCTGTGAGTCTGGGCTGATTTAAAGGTGCGTAAATGTAGACTGCATACTTTTTTGTTTTGTTTTTTTTCTCATTGAGGCTTGATTGAAGTAAACTTTTCATATCATAGGAACCATTATTGACAATGCATCAACTACACTGAAATATTCTCTCAATTTAAGAAATCATATTTTGCGATACATAATAATAATCAAGTTTATGTTTGTAATAAAAAAGTAAGATGCTAAGGTTTAACTATCAATAATGAACAGGATGAAGGAATAGATTCATGGTCAATAATTTCACTTAGAGTTTAAAATATATAACATATATTTAATCATCACTGTGTCGTGTTTTGTGTTCTAGTTATTCAGTTAGATTGAATGTTAAATAGTTATCAATGTTTGCTCAAAGTATTTGAATATTCAAATTATTTTGGAATTTTTTTAACAATATTGTATCATTTTGACTTTTACATCTAAAACAATAATGTTAATTTTTACACTTACATTTTAAGCACACACATAATTGCATACATCATTTTTTTTATTCAACCCTGAGAATTACAAAATCCAAGTTTTACAGTTTATTAAAACTATTTTTTTTACGTTTTGCTTTATCAATAAACCCAATAAATTAAACTATCTTTACGTTCAAAGTAATTAGTTAAGTTTCTTTTTTGTTGCAGGAACGAAAACATATGGTGCGAGCTCAGTAATAATCAGTTTTACAGAACTTTACATCAAGCTTCTAGGCTTTGATGTATCATTATGACGTCCTACCTCGATTCACAAAAAATTGCAAATTATTAATGGCACATTCCAACTGCTTTTGAAGATGAAAAAACTATGTAGTATCATTGAATGACAACCACTAATCTTTTTCGTTGGTAAAGTTTGGCAATCGAATCCGAATGAATTAGACTGCAAGTGATCAACTTTTTGAGCTAAACCATTTTTTTACAAGGCACTGTTTATTCGATGTTTCCCATAAGTATAATAGTTCTTAAAAAAAAGAAAGCGCCTTTCAAAAATACTGCTATTCAAAAATGTGAAGCTTGCAATTATAATATTTTTAAATTTATACAAAAATTCAAAGATTTATCAGTATTTGGTTTTTAAATTCGTTCTTTCCTATAATTTTTGTAACAAATAGTTTATTATCAATCAGTATATACAGATTTATTGAGATCTTATTAGAAAATAGATAATATATATTTTAGATTTATTATATGTTGATATCAACATATTTTGCGATAATTTAATAATTTGATGCATAATGAAAAATTATGCAACCAAGCCTAGTTTGGCTATTTATTATAGATTGTATTTCATTTTAATAGATCAGTTAAATTTCATACTATTTTCTATCGCGTAGCTACTTGAGGGTAAAGGTTTAAAAATGTATTAATTACTAACAACTCAAAAAAATTGTTTAAATTTTAAGAGATGAAAATACTAAGAAAAAACATAAAGTAATTTACTGCCTTTTCACAAAGTTAGAATTTATTTTTATGAATACCAAAATTTATAAAAAGATATTGCTAAAAAAGTAAGCTTAATTTGACGAACAATATTGATTGCCAAGTTCGTAACATCAAAAGACATGTGTAGCTCATACCATGCAAAATTAATGTTAATTTAACATCAAATAAAAAATTTAATTATCGATCATAAAATTCGAGCTATACTCGTTTGAGAGTGAAATTTATATTCAATTGAGAACATGCATTCGGTAATGTTCAAGAGCACATTTACAAAATGATTAAGTTTCACGAAGTATTTTTAAAAACTTTATCCAATTGTTCTAATCACATATTTACGAAAAAAATTTAGTACGTAGCTCAAATAAATAATGCTTAAGACCATTAAAAGTTTGAGCTAAAATGAAATAATTTTAAGAAATAAAACTGTATCATTGTGATAAAACGGGGTTAATACTAACGTATAAATCGCGATTGCGAGCCAATTCGTTTACTTCAGAAAGAAATAATTAGTAAAAATAAATTATTTATGAATGAATGCAGATGTTGCCGTGTAATTTTGACACAGCTTACACAAATCAACTGTGTTTTTACACTGAGGTGCAATTGTTATTCAGTAAAATAGCATGTAAGCTTTTATTTACAATAAAAATTTTATCTTGAACTTACTATTTTCTAAAATTTTTTAATTCCACCCTGCTTTTATCTAACATAATGAACGACTTAATTATTATTTTATTCAAGCTTTTGAATGAGCAACGATGACTAGACACCAAGCAAAGATAAATAGAAGGAACTATTGAGCCAATAGTTCCAGCTTCAATAAAAATATGTTGGCGTGAAATATAAATTTATCTTGACTACGATGGGTGGTAATTTTTTCAAATAATTTTATTACACTCGTATTTATTTGATAAGATTATTCAATTTATTTTATAAAGTACTACAGTGCCAATTTAGACATTTTATTGAGCTTCGCCTTACAACACTCAATGTAACGAGTGTCTAAAAAATAAAGCATTTCAACGATCATGAATTGCCAGAATCAATGATCGAAGATTTTAAAATTTTAGCGAATAGCTCATAGTTTTTGTTAATACATTCGAAAAAAGCAGTAGCTATTTCACATTCGCCTGTTTCTTTATTAGCTGCATGGAACAAAGTTTTTTTTCTTTAATTTCCGTTCTTATTTTCAAATAATTTTAAGGTGTTTATCAAAATTTACCTGTATCGACACATTCTATATATTTATCTTTCACTTCTTGTTCTGCAGAGCTTAAAGTTTTCTTTTCAAACTCTTCGATAATGAACTTACCATCTACTATCTATAACCATAAATGACCGTATTAATTATTTATATCTTCCAATTATTGATTTTACTTACTACTTTCTGTTTCCTTAACAAGCAACCAGTGTAGCAACCCATTTGGTCCTCATGTTTTTCAATCATTTCAGGAAGTGTCAAATCTGTGTAAACGTATAAATTGGATCAAAAAACCGTTCGAGAAAAAATCTGTATCATACCTTTTGGTAAATTTAATTCATCTTTGCATTCATCAACAACTTTCCGCAACTGAGAATCATGCTTTGCCACTGCTGTGCCGTACATGCATATCTTATTTAAATAATGATAAATATTTAAACATAAGTCTGTAACGTTACTTGCCAGAAGAAAAAAAATTACAATTGAACATACCACGAGAAAACAAACACTTAGAACACTTAGTAGGCGCTTCATTGTTGCAGTTGTAGTTTGTCACTTTGTTTTTGCACACGTCAGTTTCTAAACTGAAATTAAAATTCAGATTTGCAGAGCTTTTATACAGTGAGTATGACGTAGTATACAGGAAATATCACAAGAATAATGGTGATCATTATTTGGTAACAAAATATAAAAAAACTGCATATTCCGATTTTGCATTGTTTTTAGTAATATTATTATCACTACTAGGATAATTATTGATGCAATAAAAGTTTATTTTTTAAGGATGAGAAATTATTTCAAGCGTCTAACTTTTTTATGATGCTACTGTCGATTCAGTTTTTTTTCCGTTGTTTTTTTTTTTTTTGTAGAAAACGTCAAAAAATGATACATTCTATACAATTATTGTAATACTTGAGATAATATTTGAAAGAACGGAATTTTCCAAAACCAGCCAAGGTAAAAATGAAAATTTTTTCGTCACTTCTAACATTTCTATTGAATATTTTTATTTTACGATTATCTAATCGTTCACACAGACTTTAAAAAAAAATTAGTGAAATTCTAATCTATTTTTGAATTTTTCATTTTAAACCTGACTTCAGTATCTCCTTAAATCAGTCATCTATAAGCTCATGTTTTATATTATTTCCGCAGTTCTTACGATTTTCCAAGTTTTTATTTCAATTAGGTACAATTAAAAGTTAACGAAGAGTAATTGGTCATTTGTTTTACACGAGACTGCACTTTAGAGAGAAAAATTTTACGTCTTGCGAAAAAACAAAAATTTGATTCTTAGATCTTGACTGGTACAAAATGATAATTTTGACATTAATAATAGATCGTGATCTTTCATATAAATGTGAAATTACTTTGTAAGTATGGACAAATTATTTTAACATTAATAAGTGCAAATTTTGTCAAATTCGCTGAAATGCATACATAGTTATACATCAGTGGCATTTAAAGATAAACATTTCCGAATTCCGACGATAAATTGAATCAACATTTAATGGTTTTTTTTTATTTAAAAAAATATATTTATTTCAATTTGTGGTGTACACATGCTCAATTTGCAGTTGTTGTATTTCCTGTGATAAGCGCCTGTGTGTATTTACCTCGCCGTCTTTGTAGTCTTTTGTTTTGGCGCGTCCAAATCGGATGAAATGAACGCGCTACTTTTTTTCCAAAGCTTTTTACATTTTCTCGACGTAAGTTAACTGTACATGTGAATGCGTGCTTCGATTGATTCACGCGAGTGCAACAAGATCGCTAAAACTGACGATTGTAATCAATCTTCGTATCAGGTTTATACCCCCAACCGTAGTTAAACAACGCGTCGGTGTATCTATTTTTTTTTCTGAAAATAGCCTTGATTTTACAAAAATTGACGTTTGTATATACATCAAATAATTGGCTATCACCGAGCCCATCGGAGCAATGAACATTATTATCTCGCCGAGTAATTTTTCCCCTCGACGATCATGCCAATTAAATGAAGAAACGAGAATGAAGTTGTTTTTTTCTACCTTGAATACGATCGATTCGACTCTTATAGACGTTGATGTCAACTTTAGCGCACGTATTGCACTTTTATACGGATTGTTTGAGTAAACTAGCCGATCCGACTATTTTTCAAAGGCAGGTGGTATCTTCGACTTTAGTTTGTCTTATTGCGAAAATTAATATTCGTATTTTTTATGTGAGTTGCGATGCGTATCGATTTACTCCATTTCATCTTTCCATACAGCAATCATCGGTGCGATATCGGATGCGCGAAAACGACCGCAAAATTCCATTCGCACCGTTGAGTAAAAAAAAAATTGAGGTATCTCTCGCGAAGATTCATCGACCTCAAGCACGCATATCATCGAAGAGTTGAACAAAAATCGACGATTACGAATTTCAAATCGCTCTCGTACACGCAGAAACACGACTCGATGATACCCTCTGGAAGTTTCAATTACACGTATATCTTTTTGTTATTGTTGCTCGAGGCCTGTAAACACAAAAAAGTCGACGATCGAGTATCGACCTACGCGTTTGTATCGAAGAAAATATTAAAGACACTCGAGAAACATCAAAGCGTTGGAACAAGCTCGCTTTCTTTTCGGTAGCGCGAGTTTAATCGGCCATGTATACGCGTTCAAAAAGCTCGTGTTTCCACTGATTAAAATCGTCAATTAAGAAATCTCCGCGCCACGACTCGAAGAGCTAGCATGACTATTTATTTTGATTTTGAGTCTTTTTTCACCAAAAATCACCAATCATGCTTTTTCGAAACCTGTAAACAACAACGAGTTGTTACACGCACATAGACGATAGTGCGCAAACGGTCGTATATGGGCGCGTTATCGTGCACTCGAGAAAATTATCGCGATAAACGACGTGTGCGAAGGCACGGCTGAACAAGGTGGATTTTCAGTTATTACACGAGTAGCGTAATAATAAAATCGATAAGTGTCGCTCGGCTTTTGCAATACGCTCGCGGATCATCGCGATTTGTATCTAGTATAACAATAATCCCGTGTGGCTCTCGAAGCCAAGTTTCGGAGTACAGCGGCTTTTCACGTTCACATTTTATATATACTCGCTCGCGTGCGTTTTATAATATCTATCGAGCTTACGATGCAATCCGGCTTGGCGCACACTTGGCTTCTTTAACTCTTTATGTATTAGATCTTGGATACTTGCAGCGAGCGTCATGCGGGCGCGCACATGCGAGCCCGGCGCACATAATCCGCGTTTTTACGTCAGTAGCCGGTCTCGTACATTTGTCACCCTTTATTGATTCCGACAATTACACGTTTGCGAAGGAAAAGCCATTTCCTCGAGAAATGTGTATAAGTACACGATGATTCAGCTGGCGGCGCGGGGCACGAGCTTCGGATCGATCTAATGAGTAGCGGCGATAATAATTGATAATCTCTCGAGGGGCTCCCGCGCACGCACGACCGTAAGATCGGTCAATTAATTATACACATGATTAAGCACATTATTAGCGCGTTTTGATAATTCATATATGGGATAAACGACATTTGATTATACGATGTCCGGAGGTAAAATCGACGATGATGATCGCCGTTATTATTTATTTTTCGGGGTTTATCCAAACACGGCTAATTGTAAAAAAAGGCTCGTATAAACGTAAATAGCGATCGTTCGGCAAAATCGAACGAGTAGTGCACACGTATATATAATTGCCAGAGGAGACTTGATTAAGCTCAATTTGCCGGACGAACATGGAAAATTATCGTAGTTTTTGCGCAGAGTCATGCGCGCCGTCGTTAGAATACACGCGACAACGTTACAATGCAAAGGTGCTCGCGTGCAGCTGGCACACGTACTGTAATGTATGCGCGCGAGAGGCCAATATGCGGCGATCGCAAAAACGACCTCCGTACCGCCTCGTGCACAGCTGCTGCTACAACAACTACTACTACTACTGCTGCTGTTGCGGGGGGTAATAATAATAAGCGCGCCATCGGTCGGTAGTAAAGCTTTCAGCCCTTAGAGCCGTATCGTATCGTATACCCGACATGTGCTTCGCGTTGCACACACATTATCGTACTCGCCCCCGTTGAGCGAGTGACGTAGGTCGCGGCTCGCATATACGTTACGCCTTGACCTTGTTTAGAAGAGTGCACCTCGATCGAGGGGCACGATTGCGCGGCGATCCGATCGATACCGGCGAAAAAATCGAGATCGTTACTGCACTGCACGGGTCGCGTATACGCGTGTAGCTCAGGGTGTAGATTTTTGTCCATTTATAGTAATGGTGTGTCCGACCCAGAGAGGTATATATTTTATAGTACGAATGTTTATAGTATAAAAGAGATCGGCGTTTGTTGCACAGCTCTTAATTTGCCGGCTTTTAACTGGGCTCGACGTTAGAAGCGATAAACGCAGAGAGAATCGAGATATCATCGACGTTGCCATAGTACCTGATATTGCATATTCGGAGCGCAAACCACGGTAAATCGTCGTCATCGGGTGTCGGGCTGCAGTACAGTAGTGGCGAACGAGCAACAGTAGCCAAGCCACACACACACACACACACATATCGGCGCAGTGCCACTGCTTCCCCGCTATTGTATCGCACAGCTCGGCACATATACACGGCATCGACTCGTGCTCGCGTATATAGAGTCTTCGACGGTCTGTCAGCGGAGTAGCGCACGCCGCCACCGAAAGTTCGTCAGTCGCGTCGCGAACTCGTCACGGCCAACACACATATCGCATCTTCGCTGCGGATCGCGCGGCTCAGACGCACACACACACACACTGTATATATTTAGAAGATCGGACACAGCTGTGTGTGCCATTTCACCCACTGACATACCGCGACACAGACCTACATTATTTATTGGGCGTCTTTTTCGCATTGCGGCGCGCGATTATCGCGAAAAAATATTTTTGTATTCTTGTCGCTTTTTTCTGAATACTAATAATCGGTAATAGATAATCCTAATCGATTCGTGCGACGCGTGTGTGCGAGAGTGTGTCAGTCTCTCTCGAGTGCTCGCACGCGAGCCGTAACAGTGTCACGCAGCACAGCGGTAATAATTTGCCTAATATTTGGCATTGTACAGCATCGCTATCTACTACACTGCCACCGTCGCCGCTGCCCGACGACGCTTTTAAATCGCGCAAAATCGAGTGCGTCTGCTCGGCCGCGCGCAGACAGAAACGAAAGAGCGAGAGAGAACGGCGCAGAGCTTCTGTAGAGCAGAAGCAGCAGCATACAGTGATACATAAACGTGCGAGTGTGCTCAGTGCTGTGCGAGCTACAACTACTGTTTGGCCGCTCACATAGATAGATATATTTCGCGCGTTCAAAGCGCCGTTGCAGAATATATACATATATACGGAGCAAGAGAGAGACGAGTGTTGCAGACGAAGCGACGAGGACTGCCGCTGCTAGTTGCAAAGCTCGCGGTGTGCCTTCGTTGTATAGTTTTTTTTTTTACGGCCTCGACGGAGCATCGTGGCATGGGACAGCACGAGCCCGCCTAGCTGTTATCAACGAAACCGGTAAGTCAGTGCGTCGAACGTATCCGATCCGTCCGCGGCTCGTTGATTCAAAAAAAAATCTCGCCTCGATATTCGCCCGACGAGCTTCGACGGTTTGAGGTTAATTTCGTTATATATTACGTTCCGACCCCTATGTAGCAGTGGAGAGCCATTTATTCCCTGCAGACACATGTAGTGGTTGTTGTAGCTTTACGCACACACGCTCGCGTGCCTTGTGCCTTTCTCCCTCGCCTCGCGCGCGCGCGTGCTCACTCACTTATTATACTCAGCTCCATATAATAGACACGGGCTCTTTCTTTGCGTCTCTCTCTCCCGCAGTAGGTACGCACGTCCATATATTTTTTGCACGCGGATTTTTGGACTCTTGCCAGTCATTATGTAAAGGCCGACGCACGTACACACACGCGCGTTCGAGCGCCTCTTCTCGATTTTCGAGCAATCTCTCTCTCCGTTACGGTGGATAGATCTCTATAATACACGAGATCGAATTCGGCACGCGCGTCTCTGTCTCTCGTCTCTCTATCTTACATATACGATTCGATTGTATATATCATCATCGTCGTACGGCTGTCTTGGGTTATTTGTTGATTTACCTTCGTGTCCTATATTTGTATATGCTACACATGACGTGGGGCTAGGAGGAAAACAAAGAGATGCAAATCACGTAGGCCGATAATTGAAGCCTGTGCATACTACTACTATACGTACAATACATGCACTTATACAGTCACTTTCTTTTTTCGCCTACTTGCCGCGGGACTGATTCATGTTATCGTGTGTAACGTGCATTTCCGCATAATAACGGCACACGCCACTTTGTGCATAATGGGCTCTTTTGTGTCTCTTTTTATTGTTAACGAAACGAGGCAAAAAATCGCCAGACAGAATGAGAAGCTGAAATTTTTTACTTTGAAAAACGGAAGGCTGAGAGCTTTTTTTGGGAGGACTCGCGTAAAAGTCTAGAAATGCGGGAAAATTGTCTCGGGGAAATGACGCCAAACACGTCGTTCTACGGTAATTCCATAAAAGATCGCATACAAGAACGATCTCGCATCGTGACCAACGAGGTTTTTCCCTTCGAGAGATCGGCAAATAAAACAATTGATTTCAAGCACGCGCGAGAGATTTCTCGATCATCGATCGCCATTAATATCGCCCGACGATATAACGATCTCGCGTCTCATTGATATATACCGTAGCGATCGTAAACACACCAAGTACTACGTGCCCTGCTTATCGTCGTCTTGAGTATATAATTTATGTCAACAGCGCGTGGACCTCTTGAAATTACGTTTACGCACTACGTATTAATGTATAGTAAAATCCGCGAGTAAACACGAGAGAGCTCCGGAACAAGTGCATGCGTGTGTGTAAACTTTGGAAGCTGCGCCGCGCATGAATGAAAACCGGTATAAGTCTGCTACAATGTAACGTTATAAAAGCGCATTACCGCTCGTGCGTGTCGTGTCTCTTTCACGGGTGCACCTGCACGTGATGACGATGATGATGTACATAATTTGACATCGCTCGTCAAGAGCTCCTTATAGCCTGGCATTGGACCGTAATTAAGTGCATATTAAATTAGATGAAAATCTCATCAAAGACGCTTGAGAAGATTATATGCAAAAAAGCTCGCGATGGCACTTTCATCATCGCGTGAATTTACACTTGCCACCTCATAATACATAATATCCATCTTCTTCCTTTTTTGCCTCTAATCGTCTCTCGATCGGTCGATTAAACTTGACTTTAATAATCTCTGCGGTACGTTTGGTGACGCCGCAGCTCACGAGGAAATATACATAGCCGTGTCGCGCGCTCCAATGTTTACCTAATTTGCATAATGTAATCTCTGCGACCGGTGCACACACACGCAGAGGTAATAAGCTTGTCACAAGCTTCGAGCACTCGCATTTACTCAAGTTTCTTTTTTTCCTCTACGGAGAGTATCGTCTCGAGACCGCGTGGTTTCGCGCCGAAAGTTTTCGTCCGGCACAGCACAGATTTTTATGCAAACGATTTTTTTATTTCAACAATGAATCGGACTCGTACGAGCGCGTGTATATCCTGAACTCGAGTGCATGAAAATTGACATATACTTGCCGAACGAGGCACGATGCGCGTTCTTCGATTGTCAAGCTCTTCAGAATATTCTTCGAACTCGATTAATGATTTTGATCTGTACACGATGGAAGAAATTTATTCGAGCACTTTTTTTTTATTATATTAAACTTATTGAAGATTACATTTGAGTGCTGATTTAGACTCTTTACAACTTCTTGATGAGACAGTCAAAATTTTAGGAAATCGTAACTTGTTCAAACATTGCAACGTAATTGTTGTTAGTTCGAGACACAATATAATAAATAATTTGCTAGGCTTCTGAAAGCATGCTATGCACGTGTTTCGCTATAATCGTTTCTCTAATCTATGTCTTATTTAATTCGATAAGATAATTAAAAGTCATTAAGTAAGAACCTTCTCGCTATATAGTTATTTATCTCGAATGAATTGTATAATGTTTTGTGTTGGACATTTTTTTTTTGGCCCCCAGAAGCTTTCAGAAAGTGTCTGAGTCGAGTTTACGATTCTCAGCATTACACGCCCAAATAAAACGAGAATATCCAATTCGTACCGATAAGACTCGTTAACGTTTATTTTTCTTCGATGTTTCTTGCAGACCAGCAGTAGCCGTGGACAAAGATGGATGGAAAGGAGCATACGAAGAAGCCGAAGAACCCCAGAGAAGGAGCTAACCCGCTGAGTGCACTGACATTCGGGTGAGTACGCAACGCCTTTGATACGTCCAATTATTTGCTTCAATCTTTAAGCGACAAAAAACACGGGCTTGTCAGTTTGCTCAACGCAATAATAAAGCAAATTTTAATTGCGATAATACAGCTTCCTACCGTTGATAAGGCGTCGTGCGGACTTTTGAATTCTGCTACGCCGCAACATCATGCGTCATGTATTATGTGTGTAGTGTATTTATTGCATCGTATTGTTTTACTATGTCCGATGTTATGCGCAGTCGAGCAACGACGAACAGATACACGATTTTTTCACTCGATTTTCGATTGGAATTGGTTCGATTAATTAAATTTACGATATATCGTACGAAAGCTTAGAACAAAGCTACGAGTTTTTGCGCTAGCTTCGTAATGTACGCGCCAACGTACAGCGGAGGAAATTATTTTGCCCCAATGACGAGGCTCTTCTGGGATTGCGAGTTGTCGCTTTAATAGCCGTGCGACAATATATACGTCTATAATATAATATAATATACGCGGATACGTACGGCCATTCTATATAGGAATTCCTCTCGAGAGTCGAGTCGATCGTAAAGTCGCGCGCAAGTCGAAACGCTATTCGTCACCATCGGAAAACTATTAATTTGCATAAAATTACGTTTATCGATTGATTTATCGATACTCCAGTTTTATTATCATTATTACGATTGGCGTTAGCACGTGGAGCAGTGCATCCAGCGTATAATATATCCGAGATATCTTGAAACGAGGTGTGTTTCCATAGTTGCTTCACGCCCGAATATTCCATCTTACAAACAACGCAAAAACCACGAGGATGTGTGTCTATTTTCAATTCAATTTGAAATATCTATAACGCAGTACATTTCGCAGAATGTGTTCACACATTCATCGCATTTATGCATGCGTATATATACTCGCGCACGCAGCTGAATTATCTGGCTAAACTTAATGACGCGTTCACTTAATTCAATCTCGTTTAATTATTAATATTTACGCTCTGTCTCTTTCTTACGCGCCTACGATATACATTACATATTTGAGAGCCGAATTAATCATGAGACGCGAAAAATTGTTCGTCTGCCGGCGTATGATTTGAAACGATTCGGCGTGACATAACGCGGCACGAGTACACACGCGCGTTCGTTTATACAGAATGAGATGCAGAACGTATACAGGCCAACTGCTACACATGCGGCGAAACTAAGAAAGAGAATAAAAGAGAGAGAGAGAGAGAGAGGCTGGACAAAGTTGCATGATGTTAGATTCACTCCAATTGAATCATATTAACTCGTGTACAAATGGATATGCATGAAAAAAAGCTCAACGCGGAATGCCGTTATTTATTGTATTAATATTCGTAATCTTGACACACTTCTCTATTACTGTTTGTCAACAATCTACTTTTTTCTACGTCTGTTCTCATTGATATTTTAATATACCCCGCGTAATTTTTCCATTTATAATTATTAATTCGCAACGTTGCCATTATCTCACAGCTACATACTCCGACTGTTCTGGGTGGGCTTTCGTCGAGACCTCGACATAGCGGATCTGTACGAGCCGCTGCAGGAGCACAAAAGTGGCCTACTGGGCGAAAAGATAGCACGACTATGGGAGGAGGAAGTTCAACGCGTGGAAAAGAAGAAGCTGATGTCGAAGCGCGTCAACGATGAGGAGCGCGACGACAACGCCAACGAGGGACCGCAGCCGAGTCTGCTCAGGGTGCTGCTGCGCTGCTTCGGCGCCAAGCTCGCCGTCTACGGCGTGTTCCTGGCCTTTATGGAGATAGCGCTCAGGTAAGGAAGTTCTCGTCGTTCGTAGCCGCGACAATTACGAAATCGCGTTTAACAATACATCGTAACGATATGTCATCCGCGTATCGAAAAATATCTCGCACGATCCCCCGTATATATAGGCTCGGTTAAAAATTGATATCGCGCAGTGCGCGCGGCAATTAATTATTATATCGTCGCGCTTGAATAAAAAAACTCACGCGGTTGTATACCCGAGCAATCGTTACATAAATAACAATCATCATCGACGTCGACGCGGCAGCGCGACGCTCACTCGTATACATGCGGCGACGCTCAATTTAACACTATATAAAAATACAGTACGTATAAAACATTAAGCAGCGATGCGCGAGAGTGGGTCAATATATACACGTGTGTCAAAGATGTAAATTGAAACGCACGCAGATTGAACCAGCCGATATTTTTGTCGCTGCTCATCGGTTACTTTCGACCGATGAGCCACAACAACGCCAGCCTCGCCGGCAACATTAGCGCAGCATCGTCGTCGATGCCGTCCGCTGCTCCTGCCTGGAGAGGATATTTCAATGGCACGATCGGCGACGAGTCGCACGTCGTCGTCTCCAGTGACGAAGACGAGGCAGCCAAAGAGTCCGTATTATATATTGTGATTGAGAGAAATGCCAGCACGTCTTCTCGCTATGTCCCCCCCCCCCCCCCCNCCCCCCCCCCTTAACCAGTTTGCGATCCTCATTATTATTAAATGTATATACAGCACGCAATTGTAGGCTTGATTGATTGAAAAAAGATGTTGTACTAACATAGAGCCTATGTAGAAAACCCAAGCACTACCATTGTAAAATAATATGCCACTGGTATAGTCTTATTCTAGTTTGAGCGTGACAAAAAAATTTTTTTTTGACATTCGATCGCTAGAAATAGTCGCTAATAATTAACGATTTTCCACGACGATTACAGCGCAATTTCGATTATCCAATCATGAAAATCCATTCGAAAATTATGTAACAATAATTAGTGATTGTTTCACCATCGACTCGACAATGGTACGCGCGTTATCAATTTCGAAATGAATATAATGTAACATAAATCACCGTTTTATACTTGCGAACTTTACTCTCGGTCCAAAGCCTGCTGGCTCTTTATTTTATTTTTATATTATATGAATATAATATGAATCGTGCGATAAGTACCTATCCGCTGTACACGTATATAACGCAGCATGCAAAATAGTAATATTGTCGCGCGCCGCGCACACAACTACAAACTGCTCTCTGGCATTGTGTGACAGTTTTTTTTTTCCGTATCAACTATTGTATTATGCAAAGTTAAAACGCGGGTAATGAATGCGGTACGACGATATCGCGCTCGATGTCTCGTTGCGGGCTGCTCGTTATAATGAATCGGATTTCAAGAAACGATTATTAGCTGCGCTGCCTCGTGAGCATTGTCAGCTGTGCCTCCGCGCCGTGTATATATATATGGAGGATCTCGCGCAAATTTTCTGTCGTTTTTTTTTTCCGTCGTTTATCGATCAAACAACATTGCTCGTCGAGGGTGCAGTGTTGTGTCGCTGCGGTCCGCGTGCGCGCACTCTCGAGTCACGGAAGACTTTCGTTATTTATCTTTTTTCAACGTCGCGCGCGGCTCTTTAATGCGAACACGAATTAGCGGAAAGTTTAAAGTCCACACGAAATTCCTGAGCAGCCGCTGTCTTCCGTGAATTAGCTCGGACTCCCTTAGCGATCGTATAAATAACGCCGAAGCAGCAAATATTTATCGACTGCACATAAACGCGCGGAGATCGTCTCAATATTGAGAGTCTTTATCGGTCCTTGCATTGCCGTACATTTACGAAGCGTTATTTTTGAGGGGGCCGATCTTCGCCGTAAGCACGACAATATTTGGTTTGACGCACGTACGAAGCCATCGATTAGAATCATAAATATTAAAGATCTCGAGCTCGATCGTTACATATTGCACGCGCGCGCGCGCTCATCCGCAGTCTGCATGGAGGAAAAGAATGTCCCCGCGATGATCGCGCTCGAAACATTTTCCTAGCAATGAAAATTGTCTAAATAAGTATAGTCGAGAAAAAAGGATATAATAAAATGTTATTGTCACGAGCGTCACCTCGGCATTGAAAAACACAACGACGGTGAGCGCGCACATACACATGCTCGGTACACGCATCACGTGCCCGTATTGCAGCAGCAGCTCGAACCGCTATGTAGAAAGCCCGACTGGCTCTCTCAATGCTCAATTTCAATCGTCACGATGTCGACGTAACCCGCAATTGTTCAAATGTATACCTGAGTATATAGTAGTAGTAAGTGCACAAAATGACGAATAAACATCGTCGTCAGGGTCATGTACACGTACTCGCACGTATTATACACACGTCCATCGATTCCAAGTTACGAGAGTCGATCGTTCTTTTAACGTAGAAAACATTTTTGCTAGGATTTTTAGCGTGTAATCATTTACGGCAAAAAAAAAATGAAAGAATCACTGATTCGATGAATCCTAACGATGTTTTCCTGCCTACCCCCCGACAGACTCGCCCAGCCGATATTCCTGGCGAATATGCTGCAGTACTTCAGGGTAAAGACGACGACGACCCTGACCGAGGCCTACGTCTACGCCTCGCTCGTCATTCTCTGCTCGGTGCTCAACGTCCTCGTCATCCATCCCTACATGATGGCCATTCTGCATCTGGGCATGAAGATGCGCGTCGCCTGCTGCTCGCTCATCTATCGCAAATCGCTGAAGCTGTCGCGCACCGCCCTGGGCGAGACGACGATCGGCCAGGCCGTGAATCTGCTCTCGAACGACGTCAATCGCTTCGACGTCGCCACGATATTCATGCACTACCTGTGGATCGGGCCGCTCGAGACGATCATCGTCATGTACGTGATGTACCAGCGCGTCCAGGAGTCGGCCATCATCGGCGTGGCCGTGCTCATGATGTTCATACCGATCCAGGGCTTCCTCGGCAAAAAGTCCTCGTCGCTGAGGCTCAAGACCGCCATACGCACGGACGAGAGGGTCCGGCTGACCAACGAGATCATCTCCGGCATCCAGGCCATCAAGATGTACACGTGGGAGAAGCCGTTCAGCGCCCTCATCAATTTGGCCCGCTTCAACGAGATCAAGTTCATCAGGGGCATGTCGTACATTCGCGGCGCCATCATGTCCTTCATCATCTTCTCCACGAGGCTGGCCCTCTTCGTGACCATCGTCTGTTACGTTTACAAGAACCCCATCACCGCCGAGACCGTCTTCATGATGACGGCCTACTTCAACATTTTGCGAGTCAACATGACTGTCTTTTTCCCTCAAGGTGAGCACTAACCAGTAGTTGTACTAGTAGCAGTAGTAGTAGTAGTAGTGGTCGCACACGAGGTGTATAAATAATATGTATTTTCCGAGCACGCGCATTTTTACGCGGACGAGCTTATCTGACATTTTTTTTTCTTTTTCAATTTTTATTGCCTTCCTTATCGGTCACAAGATGTTAGGACTACCACATACGGTGGCTGTCCGATACACGAGCAAAACAGCCTAGGATCATCTTGTTTGTCGGATAAACTTTCAGTTTTTTATTTTCGGATATTTTCGAACATTTTCGTATATTGTCCTCGACCGTCTCCGATAACCGTGTTTTATAATTCTAAAAATTGACAATCAACTTTTCACGCGTTTCGTAAGTGATTCCGATAAAGTTGTAAAAAAAATGCTGGTACTCATTCTCGTGTAAACGTATTTTGTGCTTTCGAACGATGTTATACAGGTTACATCACTGAGACGAGAAAAAAAATTATTTAACGGCTTATAAAGACGGATGATTTACGACGACACCTGAAAAATTGGCCTCGGTAGAAAACTACTATAAAAATCGTTTTAACGATTTTCTTTTGTTAAAGTTACTTCATCGTTGATAATCGGTAAGAGTATTATCTCAAAGATTATCTATGTGAATATAAATAGCCACAAGGAAAGAACGGGAATAGTTAACGTTCTAGAAAAATAGATTTATTATTGTTTAATTTCATAACATTTTATTTTTACCTTTACTGTCCAAATCTCTGTTATTTGCCGAAATAAACTTGCGTGATTATATTTTATTTTTTGCTTGAAATTCAAATGATCAAAGCTAATATTTAATAATTAAAAAGTCTTATACAGCGCACAACTTTTGATTGAGCACACATTACTTTGAATCTGTGGAATTTCGTGACCCAAATTCGATAATTGAAAATACTTTTAAATTAAAAATCTGTCGCGATAATTTCATGTGCATTGTCCGGATCATGTTTTATGAAAAAAATTCCTAAATTGTATGATTCAATTTTGTTTTGTATTTTGGACAATCCCGATATGAACGGAACAAATCAAAGCACATCTACGAACTTTCTGATTACATACCGATTTTAATCTTTCTCGAGTTTGAACTAGCTTTGTGTATTTGTTCGACAATCTCCAGGCTGACGTTTATCTTTATTATCAGACGAATAATTTTTGTAATGCTTTAATGGCGCCTGCGTAGATCGAATCTTTCTACGCGGACACGAGCGAAAATAAACACGCATTATTTAAGTATTTCACTTACTAATACGATGGAAAAAAATTCGACTTAAAATTTTCCATTATTTACAGGTATAACTCAAGTGGCTGAGGTGCTGGTGTCCATCAGGCGTCTGCAAAAGTTCATGTGCTACGAGGAGGTGTCGACTCGCGCCGACCGTAGCATGGTATACAAACAGCCGAAACTCGAGAGCGACAAGAAGAAGAAGAAGAAGCCGAAGAAGAGCAAGAAGTCCACGGAAAATGGAAAATCCGTCGAGCTGGAGAACGGAAAAGCCGACAAGTTCCAGGAGGATGACAACCGAAACAACGGCGAGATCAAGCTCGAGCACGCCTCGGCCAAGTGGCTGGGCTACGAGAGAGACGACACGTTGCACGACATCAATTTGCACATCAAGCCCGGCGAGCTGATCGCGATAGTCGGTCACGTCGGCTCCGGAAAGTCCAGCTTGCTAAATGTCATAATCAAAGAACTGCCACTCACGGCTGGTTCGATTCAGGTGCGTTGAATAAAATCACCCACGCAGTATACATATAGCCTCGCATCAGAGACGCGACACACTGTCATTGTTTTTTTTTTTTTTTTTTAAACAAGTATCGCTCATCGGTAATTAATTTGGGTTATCTCAGCTGAACTGATATGCATCGTCAAGTTTCCAGATTTATGTAATTCAAAGTTCAATAATCCGTACAAGATAAATTCGGCGAGATATTATCCACTGTTTGTCGATTGAGATTTTGGCGCGCGAATTTCGTAAGCCGCGTTACTCAAAATATTGCGTACACGCACGCGCTTTGCAATGATAAATATTTATCGTATGCAGCTGTTCGTACGAGTGCGCGCACGGCATACTTTTTGCGTCACTATATTCGTTATAATTTACGGGACGTTATTTGTGAAATTACCGTCTCATTGTACTAAAGATTTAAAACGCGAATTATAAAGAATATACACTCCACAGCTCATTGAAAAATGTAATAGTAAAAAGCCAATCTTATAATAATTCTTGGTTGATCGCAGGTCAACGGCCAGATCGCCTATGCGTCCCAAGAGCCATGGCTGTTCGCCGGCTCGGTCAGGCAAAACATTCTCTTCGGCCGCGACATGGACCAGGACAGATACGATCAGGTGATCAAGGTGTGCCAGCTCAAGCGCGACCTGCGGCTGCTGCCTTACGGCGACAAAACGGTCGTCGGCGAACGAGGCATCAGTCTCTCGGGAGGCCAACGTGCCAGGTAAGAATTATACACCATTGCAGCGAGATTACACACACAATGGCCCATGTGAAAGTGTACGCGGATGCGTCTCGGGTTTTCGTTCGTTTTTCGACGGATCGCGGACATTTTTTGCCCTGCAAAATCATCGACGTACTTTCGAAAATTCAATTTCTCCGTAGCAGCAACGGTTGTTGCGGTTGCAGCACTTTCACCCTAGAGCCATCCTCGAAATACAGTTCCGAAGAATGAGATTTAACAAATTATTTTCAGAATTAATTTGGCGAGAGCTGTGTACTCGGACTCGCCGATTTATGCGTTCGACGATCCCCTCAGTGCCGTTGACGCCCACGTCGGTAAACACATGTTCGACGAGTGCATATCCAGGTACTTGAGGCACAAGACTCGAGTCTTGGTTACCCATCAGATACAATATCTCAATACCGTAGACAGAATCATCGTGCTCAAGGATAATCACATCCACGCCGAAGGGTAAACATCTCAATTATTATGAAATTTAAAAAATTCAAGACAACAATGAAATAATTTTAAATATGAATTTCAGAACGTTCCAGGAGTTGGTGGCCAAAGGTGTCGACTTTGGCCGGCTACTCGAAGAGCAGAACAAAGAAGACGACGCCAACTCGGTGAACACCAGCCGCGGACCGTCGCGCCAAGGCAGCATCACGTCCCTGTCGTCGTTCCTGACCGACAACAACATGTCGATCGACGATCCGAACGAGGAGGCCGAGCAGAGAGGCTCGGGCACCGTCGGTGGATGGGTCTACAAGGGCTACTTCCGCGCCGGTGGCAACTGGTGCGCCATCATCACCGTATTCCTGCTCTGCGTCCTCGCTCAATTCTTCGCCAGTTGCGGCGACTTCTTCATCGCCGAATGGGTCAAATGGGAAGAAAAATCATACGTAAGTTTATATTCTTTCGTTAAATTATGTTGTTTTAAAAGTAGGCCAATACTTGATCGTTCGCTTGCGATGGTTCAAAGTTATTGCAAAAGAGCAGCGAGCGTACTTTACTGGCGAAAGATAGACGCGAATCATGACCTAGACCGATTTCTGCATTTTTACGCAGAAGCCGTCGATCAGTAATTTTTATTTCCCTATACATAACAAATCGCTACATGATTTTTCTTTTAAAATAGAAATGAATTTTAAAATGCCTCGATACGTATTCAACGTAATAAGTCGAAGCGCAAAAAATCATCACTGCTGCATACTCTTTTGTCGTCTTCCGCTTTGAGATTATGAAATAATGATTTCCTTTGACATGTCCACACGAGGAAGCGTCGCTACGAGACGGTGCATTTTTAAAAACAGATCAAATTAAAGTTAATATTTTCGAAATTGTCCTGACAACGTGCATCGCATTATAAAAATGAGTTTTTAAGACAATTATTGTACCGTGTATTACGGTCTTGTTCATCGCTTTATTTTTTCAACGATTATGTACTAGAGCTCTGATAATAAAATTCTAATGTTATTCGTTCGAGCGTATATAGCGGTTTAAGCAAGTCTGACCTAGTTTTGTATTTACATACATTATCGTCCGTCATAATGGTATGAATTATTTGACATTTTGCATTCATGAAAATTTTTCTCACTAGATTATCGCATAAAGTTTCTTCGATCAAAGTCACGCACACGCGCACAAAACGCACTCAAAAAACGTTTTTTTTTGTCAGCGTCATATTAATTTCGTCTTTTTTCTTACTCGCTCGCAGATCAATGCCACGCCGGGAATGCCCATAAGCGAAGCCGACTGGCAGGGTCTGATCAGCCGCGAGACCTGCATCTACATCTACACGGCGATAACCGTGCTGACGATCGTCGTGACCCTGGTGCGCTCCGCGGCCTTCTTCAACATGTGCATGCGCGCCTCGCGCAATCTCCACGACGGCATGTTCATGTCCATCAGTCGGGCCACGATGCGCTTCTTCAACAACAACACGTCCGGTCGCATCCTCAATCGCTTCTCCAAGGACATGGGCGCCGTCGACGAGCTGCTGCCCATCGCGCTCATCGACTGTCTGCAGATCGGCCTCACTCTACTGGGTATCATCGTCGTCGTGGCCATCTCCAATCCTTACTTGCTCATACCGACCGTCATCATTAGCGTCGTGTTCTATTACCTTCGTGTGTTCTACATTGCCACTGGCAGAAGTGTCAAGCGTTTGGAGGGCACCAGTGAGTATATTATTACTTTTATACACAGCGCTTATCGTTTAGATACACAATGAGAATTTCTTTTTCGATAAAATATTTGCGTCGCGTCGATCGTTGCGTAACGCGCCAAGATCGTGAATATTATTTAATAGTTATTTGGGTATCTGGAGGCATCGAAAGCACAAATTACGCTAAGCAAAGATCGGAGGAGTAATCAATCACGTTAATTGACTGGTGTTAAAGCTTATTCTCAACTCAATAATCGATGACCTTTGAATTGTGCGTAGCAAATACAAATCGCAGCTCGTTAATTATTATTCCTATCCCACACACGCAATATTGCACTCAATTTCACAATGCTCGCCAGAATTATTAATAAAATTTCTCTGAATTTCAGCCCGATCGCCGGTATTCGCCCACTTGAACGCCAGTATGCAAGGACTCGCCACCATACGCTCCTTCGACGCCGACGAGACTCTCATCAAGGAATTCGATCATCATCAGGATCTGCACTCGTCGGCCTGGTTCATCTTCATCGCCACCTCGCGCGCCTTCGGTTTCTATCTCGATGTCTTTTGCATCATCTACATTATTTTCGTGGTGATGAGTTTCTTTGTCATGGGCCCGGATCACAAGCCCGACGGCGGCTCCGTCGGCTTGGCCATTACACAAAGTATCGGTCTGACCGGTATGTTCCAGTGGGGCATGAGACAGAGCGCCGAGCTGGAGAATCAAATGACCTCGGTTGAACGTATATTGGAATACAGGTACTACGTTTAAGCGACTTTCATTTATTTTCTCGTACGAAAAAAGAGAAAGAAAAGATTTTTAACTGTGCCAATTTTTTACAGTAAATTGCCGAGTGAACCTGCACTGGAGAGCCCACCAGATAAGAAGCCCGCAGAGGATTGGCCTAGAGAGGGTAGAATTGAATTCAAAAACGTCTTCTTACGTTACTCGCCGCTGGACCCGCCGGTTTTGAAAAATCTTAACTTTACCATTCAGCCAAGAGAAAAAATTGGCATTGTCGGACGCACTGGCGCTGGAAAATCGTCCCTCATTCAATCGCTATTTAGGTAAACTTTTTTTGCGAATGTCCATCTTAATTTTTGTGATCGTTTCTCGTCCAATTTCATCAAAATTCGAATTTATTTACAGATTAGCCGAAGTACAAGGTAACATCGAGATCGATGGCGTCGAGACCGGTGAAATCGGTCTGCACGATCTTCGCGGTATAATCTCGATCATCCCGCAAGAGCCTTTCCTCTTCTCCGGTACATTGCGCAAAAATCTCGATCCGTTTGACTCTTACCAGGATGCCGTTTTATGGCAAGCCCTCGAGGAGGTCGAGCTCAAAGAAATGGGCTTGAACGCTCACATAAACGAGGGTGGCAGCAATCTCAGCGTCGGCCAGAGACAACTGGTCTGTCTCGCTCGGGCGATTGTCAAGAACAATCCGATCCTCGTACTCGACGAAGCTACCGCTAATGTGGATCCCAGAACCGATGAACTCATTCAGAAGACAATTAGAACCAAGTTCGAGATGTGCACGGTGCTTACGATAGCTCACAGACTGAATACCGTCATGGACAGCGACAGAATACTCGTTATGGATGCTGGAACTCCTGTGGTAAGCAGTCGATCAATATTAATCAATTATTCAATGAATTTCAGTAATGAATTGATAATTCATTTCTCATTAATTTTTCCACACAGGAATTTGACCATCCATACATATTGCTTCAAAAAGAAAATGGCCATCTGAAGAACATGGTCAAGGAGACCGGTCCAGCGATGGCCGAAGCATTACACACCGTGGCTGAGAGAGCCTACAATGGTTCAAACACAGACGACAATACAAATCTCTGAAGTGGGAAATTGTACGCACGCGTGCATATTTTACGTGGATCATTTATTTAATCATCGTCCATGATTTTCACAATTTTCGTGCGCCTCCAGTATTCACCATACCAGTACTCGATTGAGCTTCAATACTCGGCGCGCAGAGTCCAGTATGTAAGCGAATAATTGCAGACGAATTTTTTTTTCTTAACAATCGCAGAGCCTTGAAATTCGAAAGACGGGCACAGTATTAATTTGTGGAATAGATTTTTTTACGTCTTGTATGCCGTGATACGTAGTGTCGTATTCGTTTCACTATTCGTTGTTTGTTTTTCAACACATAGATTTTTTTGCTAATTAATAAAAGTTTAACTATTCATTTTCATATACGTTTGTGTGCGTTGTTGACGTCGAAGATTCTTAATTGTGGCTCAAGTGACTTTTTGTGTGTCTTCGATTCAACCAATGATCAAATTGAGAACGAGAGAGAGAGAGTTAAAAATGGTTTGTTTAGTGATGGAGGTGTGTATGTGTCTATGCAACTATTTTTGTAAAATTTAGGAATATACTTAATTGAATTGTAACACAAAGACCACTCACGTCAATAATGTTCGGTGCTTTTTTGATGGTGCGTACATTTCATCATTAATCATATATAAGAAAATAAGCAGGAGCTTGTGTTTACATATTTTTAGAATGAATTTTTTAGAGCTCGCTCCCATACAGTAAATAAAATACAAAAAAATTGACAATGAGCTGCCCCTGACTAGATTTAACGTGCTTATATGTGTTTGATACTTAAGATTTACAATGTACCATAATTGTGATTCAAGCCAATAAAATGTATAATATGTATGTGAAGGTGCTCAGTTTTGAGTAAATGAAGACGTTCCTAAGTACATTTTAAATTAACAAAAACATATTGAGGCAATCAACTCAGCTATAATTTCTTAAAAATCTTTGTTTTTTAAGATAAAATATCAAATATATGTGCGAAATTATGTACTGTATAGTTTTTAATGTTATGTGTTATTGCCATTATTATTGTAATTATATTAATTGTTATTAGATAATTGTATATACACTTACCGTGATAGTCTATGTGTATGGGAGTGAGTGTCTCGAGTACAAGTGCCTATATACATGAATATAATTAAATGGAAAAAAATACTATTTCTACAATGTTTGATGATAATATATTTAATTACAACCACGCATAAAAAACAGCAAATGAAATTACGGTTCCATAACAAATTTTTTATACTCTACTATAGAAATAATATTTAAAGCCAAATAAAATTCAAATAAAACAAAATTGATAATAGAAATTAAATTATTTACTTCCCGAATTTTATTCTTAGTAGAAACAGCTCCGCGATGAGCTCGAAAATCGATCGAGCGAAGTTTCTAAATGCAGCGCGTCACTTCAGAAAATGAACTAATATTTCAGGTAATAATAATTTAGAATTAGATATTCCAATTAATTGAAGTTTAATTAATTCATTCATAATGTTTTTCAACATACAGAGAAATGGTGCACTAAAATGTAAATTATAAATAGTGAGTATGATTTTCATTATAAAAACAGTGAAGATTAAAAAATTCAATTTAACAAAGTATCACTTGATTACACCAATAAAATTAAGAATTTAAAAGGATCTGGACGTTAAAAAAATTAAAATGTTTTATATTCAAGCTTACAAATTAAACTTAAATTTACATAAATTAGGTTCAAGTATTACTCCAACATATTGGTTTTTTTTTCAGCTAACCAGCAATATAAAATAAAATTCTTTTAAATTTATAAGACCCCTGTTCTATGAGAAATTATTTTTTGATGAACACAAGTTTTCAAAGGGCGGAATAAAACCATAAAACTTATCAAAAATCTTAATAAGCATTTGGAATAACATACATCTAGCTATACTAGGTTGTGGTAGTACATCAACTATTTCATTCATCATGCCAGTAACAGTTTGTATTAATTTTTTATCAATTGAATATATGTCATTAAAAATCTTTTCTTTCAATGGAGTAATTTCCATTATAGAAAACAACTCTTTGGAATACTTTTTTGGCTTCGATTTCATTAGCTCATCCAAAAATACATCATTTAACTCTGGTAAGATAAAGAGAGGCCAATCTTTCTTACAAGCAATGCAATGACACACAAAATTTGAATTTTTTTTTCTTCTATGGATCAATGGAGACTCAAAAAAGTACTTATTGTATGAATCTAAAAGCTATACAACAATTTAATAATATGATAGGTAGCAAATTTTAAATGTAATAATAACCATGAATATTAATGGGTACCTGAGTTCCACTAGCAATTGGTTCCATGGCATAAAAAACATACTTCATTTCATCTGTAAAACATCTTCGAATATTTGGTGTACAACTATGATTGGTCATAGTACTGATAAGTCCCATGCAAATCCCTCTGAATCTTTCATCTGAGGGATCATGATGTTTAAAACTATTTTCTTCAAATGTATCTGATATCTAACGAGTAGAGAAATAAAAAGCAATTAAAATTAGATCAAATTATGAAATAGATTAAATTGAATATAAAAACATATTTTCCTTACAGTATGATAATTAACAGAACCTATTTTTACCAATCTCAAGAGCAAAGATCCAATAAAAAGAAAATCTTCATTTTTAATAAAATCATTATATTGCATATCTTTTTCAGAGAAAAAAGATGTGTACTTTGCCATACAAATCAGTGCTTTTACTGTAACCACAATTAAAAGTAAATTTTGATGCACAGGTACGTCATAACACAAGCCCATCAGTTTATTGAATAAGTCAATTTTTGGTTCAGATCCGTCATTAACTATTTCTACTGCAAAAGATTCAATGAAAACCAAATAAATTTAATTACTTCAGAAAATTGTAATAATTTTAATAGTCATATTCACCTTGATCATTTTTAGATATTTTCAGTTTAGATCTAAGCTCATCAATCGTTTTATAATCTTTCTTCAATGATATTATAAATTTAAGATTTGTGTGAATCAATACAGGAATAATTGGGTCACATAGAATAAGATAAGGTGTTATTGAGCAATCAATGTGATGATATTCTTCCCAGGCCATGTTTTTACATTTTAAAGAACAAAATATATAATCATGACATGTTTCGCATGGAATTCCTGTCCATGCAACTGCTAAACAATAGGAGCAAAATATAAATTGATTGGCAAAGTGTGGCCCGATCAAAGAAGGTTTTTCTACTAGTACTATATCGCCTGCTTTAAAATTAGTTTTGGCAAATAGACCTCTGCCCATATTTTCAGTTTGTTTTATTTCAACAAAATCAAATGGATCAACTTTTTCTCTGTCAACTATAATTTTACTGTAATATTCTTTTTCTTGTAAGAATTTTTGATTATTAGGTTTGAATTGCTTCATTGATGCTACCGCTGATTTTGCTTTCCTAATAATATTTGATATTTGGTTTGTATCCTCTATAGATAACTTTGAATTCTTAAAAATTTGATCAATCTCTTTTAATACATCATCTTTCTTTGAAGAACCAAGGGCAGCAAAACATTTGACTTTTTGGCAATGTATTTTCAGTTTCATCTTGGTTGAATCTGTTAATTGTAAAGCTTTATCTAAACTATCTATAGCCTCATTATATTTATTGACATGCATCAATAAATATGCTCGATTACTGTAAGCAAACATCAATTCTTCAGATTCACTAGGAGCATAAGTTATGCTTTTGTTATAAAAATACAGAATCAATCGATGATCTTCGTCTGTGTGCTTTTTCTTGATAAATATTTCATTGCCTGCCTTTCGAGCCTTGACAGATTCTTCTGCACTTTTTATTTGATATTTTATGTCAAAGTCAAGCGCAAAATTTTTCATTTTAGGTGCAGACAATGCGTCAATTATGGCTGTACGTTCGGCGTCCATAATACTAAATTAATCTAAATTTATAAACGATACATCAGACTGATTTGATACTTAAGGATTATTGAACATTAATTGTACCTTGTTGAAGACGATGGTCGGCTGCCTATTGTATTTGTGGAAGATGAATTAATTAATTGCTACAATTATGGTGTCTGACATTCACTACGGTACAATCGAACAATGATAATTATTGGGAATGCCGCATTAAAAAAATTGCATGCTGAACGCGCGCTGTGATCTCAATCACGCAGGTTTTCCCAAACGAGATTCTTTTCTTTATTCGCAAATTCACGACCCGGAACTGCTAACAGCCGGTGCCACCAGCTTGGTGCGCGGCTTATCGATGTACTTTTGCAATGCTTCCGTTGGCAATGCTGTCGAATAGCGGTTAATACTACTGACAGACGACGCGAACATGAAGTGTGGCAGACCGGCAATCTATTAAGATTCCAAGGCCAAAAAAAGAAGAAGAAGAAGAAGAAGACAGACGACGCGTGAAATCGAGTTCTTTTGGAAGTTCAAACTTCAGTTTGATCTTGATGAGGGGACTGCAGCAAAGTGAAAATTGCCCATTCTTTAGTGTGAAATTCACACTCTAATCGTATTGAAAAGTGCATCTGCTTGTGATAAAAAATAAATACAATGAATGCCCCAAGTGCAAAGGATAGACTCTTTGAAAACATGAAGCGAGAGTGCGACAGCGTGGACAACGTCGACGATATCTCCGTTTCGCTTTTCGATGAAGATTCGGTGGATATCAATTCCATGGATCTCAATTGGATACTAATACGCGCTGTCAAAGAGAGATGTTTCAAAATCGTGAGATATTTTGTCCGAGCTGACATAAAAGTCGGCCGTCTCGACGAGTCAACAGGAACGGCAATTAACATTGCAAGCGAGGATTATTATAGGACCGAAGAAGATCGTCAAGAAGTTGTGGGTTTACTTTTTAACATGTAATACAATCATGTGAATTATACCAATAAAAAAGGATTATCTCATTTTGATACGGCCTGCCTATGTGGCAATGTTGATATGATTCAAAAGTTTATAGATCAAGGCGTTGACGTGAATCACGTAAGCGCTAATAATTCTACACCACTACATTTTGTGACTCACTCGTTTAACATTGATGCAGTTATTATGCTGTTAAGCAATGGTTCAGAGCCTAATGGCAAAATATGGCAAGATTTCACACCTTTGAATCTTTTTCGTTTAAAAATGTCGTTAGAATTACCTATTTTGTGTCACAGTTTTTGGTTGTCGACTATTCAAGTTTTACTTCAGTATAACTCTGATGTCAATACTCAAGATATAGATGGTAACAGTCCTCTATTGAATCTATTTTATGATAAAGCTTGTGGTATGTGTCCAGCACAACAAGAAGCATTAGAAATGCTTTTGAATTATAATTTTGATTTAGCACATGTAAACAAGAAAGGCAAATCAGTATTGCACTTGCTTCCTTGTTGGAAAATTGACGGAGAAGGCATGGTTAATGTAGAAGAGATGTATTTCAGAAAAAGGGATCGTACTGTTATTGAGGTAGTGAAAATGCTATTACAACATGAAGCAGATGTCAACATTCAAGATCACGATGGAAATTCTCCAGTTGATATGGCTATTTCGTACTGCAACTATGATGTAGTTGAGATTCTATTGGAACATGGTGCCTGCATCGACGCTGTGAAATTCCAACGAGGTTTATTAGAACCTGACAGCAAAATCTTACGAAACTCGGATATGACTCAAAATCTTCTAGCTATCATAGCACTCTTAAAAATAAAAGGATTTCAATAAAAGGATATCAAAAGCTGAAAGTCATCAAATTGTTTAATGGGTTTGATGAAATTGAGTTGATCAGTAGTTTATCAGATGAATTATAACTAGGTAAAAAACTCATCTTTTTTTAAGCTACTTGAAGGACAAGAAATATATCATTAATAATTTTTTTTCATCAGGCTATACAGGCAAAATTGATCAATTCATTCATGCGGGAATGAAGAAGTACCCTACATGATGGAGGAAGAGGACGTATATGAATCTATTAAAAAACCATTTGGATACCATAAGAATAGGACAAATGTACTTGGATCCAGCAATACGCAATTATCTTCAAGATAAATTGCAGATGTTTGATTCCTCTCAAGGCTACTCTATAGATGAACAGAAAATTGAAGGCGGCTTCGCTAAAGCCAAAAGTACAATGATCAATGGTAGTTTATCGCTCTTTGATTTATGCTCTTTGAGCTTGAGTGAAACATACGAATTATTAGAACATTGTGATTATTCACTTATAGTAAATTCATAAGATTTTGATAAAAATTTTTTTCCTATTCATAGTGTTATAAAAGGTCATATTACTCAAAGTTTGATTCATGGATTTTTTGAACAAGTAGCAAGAGAATCTAATCTTGAGCAATTATCGACCCATTGGGAGACTTTAGATAATAAAACCATATTTATTATTTATCAACAGTATGTCCATGAATTGTAAACTAATTAATGTTAAAGTATTAACTAATATTCATTATGTTCAATGTTTCAATATTTTTTGCTTCTTTCTTTGTCATCATTTTTGTATTTATTAAATGAGTATAGCACTGGTATATTTATGTAATTACAATTAAAGTATTGCCTATAAATTTAATAAATGTTGTTGTTTACTTAATTACAATCTTGTTTTTTATTAAATTGCAAATACTTATGGCTTTTCGTTTGGAATAACTAATATCTTTTCATATTTGCCATGCCTCACGCTAAAAAATATTAGCTATATTCNAGCGTTTTTTCCAACAGATTTTCCACCTTGCTCTGCAGAAAATTCTGTAGAAATTTACATATTTTGCAGACTTATAAACTTCCTTCTGTAGAAAATTCTGCAGAAATGTACGTACTTTGTAGACTCATAAACTTCCTTCTGTAGAAAAATCTGCAGAACGAGAGTCGCGAGCGTTTTTTCCAACAGATTTTCCACCTTGCTCTGCAGAAAATTCTGTAGAATGAGCGTGTTACCACGTTCTTTGGCCCATCAATTCCAGCAGATTGTGGGCGCGAAAATGTTGCAGAAAATTCTGCAGATTTTTCTGCAGATTTTTTTTGCAGCATATTCTGCAGATTTTTTTCATAAGGGACTCGATTGCACTCGACCAAGTAGAGCCTCCGTAAACACCAGCTCGGGAAAATAAAAAAAATGAGGCAAATAATAAATACGAAAAGACTTGATGCGGTACGTCATAATGTGCTCAAAAGCCGAGTGATCCCCAATTGAAAATTTAATTGCTGCTTGGCTGGGAGATGGATGCTCAAAATGATGTACAAATATATTCGTGTATAAATTTTCGCAGAGGATATCCGCGAATGACAAGCGTACAAAATGCGCCAACGAACGAAATAATTCTAATTGAATCGATGCTATGTGGGCATACGCACACCCATGCTTGTCCTGTATAATAAATTTAATTTCGCGTTTACACTTGTGCGTATTGGTCCACGCGTCCGGACCTATGTATATAAGTATACGGTCCAAATAATATACAACAAGGTTGTGCGTGCCGCTAGACATATATTATTCCGCGCGTAGCCAAGCTTCGGCCAAATGATTATAATAAAAGCTTCGTGTTTCTAACGGCATTCGTATCATAGTATATGGGCAAATACAAAGCGCAATAAGATAATCTAATTTCGGATAAAAAAATAGCGCAGATACATCGTAAATATAGTACGCTCCCGGAGTTGCACATAGTGTATGTGTGTGTATTGAACCGAGTACGTGCCTCGAGCGTAGAAATATATACCGCCATGCAACGTATACATATACCGATCGCTGATGAGGAACCATTTTTGAAAGATCCTCTGTGTACGTAATAACCTGCGTTCGATGCAGAGTCTCATTTTACGAAGGTTTCAAAGTTGCGTAAATGTAATAACTTAGGGTGCAGCTAATAAATATGAACATTTGTTTATCCTTTGCTAGTATTGTAGCGCTCGATGACAAACTGCCTGGTTTGAACTTTTCAACATACGTTATAAGTGAGCGAGACCGCAACGGTTATGCTTATTTATTTTACTAATCTATAAAACGTATCGCGCTACGCTCGCAACGAGTAACTATTTATTATATCTTGTCATAATATGCGTGACTTATATGCGTACGTAGAGCAACATGCGTAGGCGTGCGTACAAGACAGGCGCAAATGTACAGGTAATAACGCGCGTCGATATTAGTTAGCGTAAGTTGAAACGAGCTTCATCCTACTCGGTACTCGCAATTGTAATCGTGCTCGGAAATCGATACGTACACTCTGTGTATTAGTCGTTTGAACTCGATCTTGCAAAAAAATCCGAATCATAGCGGAGATCGGGCTATTTTTGAAATGACCTTTGAAATGGAATAAATGCGGCTGGCATGGCAGCCTGTTGCGCGTGCGAATTAGTAGTACAGCAGCGTCGAGCTGTGTGCCGCGCACTGCCTCGAGGCTATTACAAGAGAGCTCGAGAGTCTACCTGATTGTATCAATCTGTGCCTCGCGCAGACAACAAAATCGCCCGATTAGATTTTGCTCGTCTGTGTCGATGGATAGATCTGCGCGCGGAGATGGAGAAAGGGAAGATACAGCCTCGCATTGTGTGCGTGCAACCCCCTATAGCTATGCGCTTGGCGACCTTGCCAGGCACGCTGCAAAACAATATACCTACATACGTAGAAACTAACATTGCAACATGAATTGTGTGCGTTTACTAATAATACCGCGTACTGCAGTCTACTGGATATGTGTACCAGAATACATACCGACATGCAGACACAGACACACATGTACGCGCGCACGCGGCTTTGGATTACGAGTAGGAGCAATCATCGTCATTATGTTCGAAAGAAAATCCAGCCTCATAATACATTTACGGATCCTTACGTGCTTTTGTGGTATATACGCGCGGCACTTCCAGGCCAGAATTCGCAACTGCTCATATAGCTGTAGACAAGGCGCGCAACGAAACTACACTTGCGCGCACACACACACAAACGCACACATGTACGCGAATGATTTTTTTCCCCCTGGCATTATATATTTTATAACACAAAGCTTCGCTTGGCTTTTGGATGCTACGCGCTCGTTGTAGCTCACGTTCGATGAGCAAGATCGATGTTTCAGTTCATTGCGGCTCGGGATGATGCGCGTGCAATTAGTTGGTTCATGTGGATGAAAGAGATAAGAGGATTTTGTGCTCAACGTACAGCCTTTCTTTCTCGGGGAGCTACAAATCGATTATTTCTCCTTTCAAATTATTTGATTATGTCATTTTTATTTCATTTATTATCCAAAGCACTTGCACAATCACGAATGAAGATACTTTTTCAAAATAACACATGTTTTATATTTGACACGAGTTAAATCTGTGCATCGTTTATTAATTTATGAAGTTTGTCGGACACCGTACAAAATCATTTTTTTCCAGATATTTTCATCTCGATAAATTAAACGCTCAAAAAATTACTCAATAGTTGGTTGATCTCCTTACACGTATATGCAAATTCAGGTGCGACAAAACACATTACAACGTTACAGTATCGGTGTCTCGAGTCGCGTTGCGGGCCAGAACTCGTATAAATCATCCTTCGACGTATCCATACAAATTACAGCAGCTTATACATTTGCTCTTTGCACTTTCTCGCTGCTCGCCACGTGCACGGCTGGCTGGCTGGCTGGCCGTGTCTGCCTACCTGCTGTGGATGTGTTCATAAAAGCGAAAAACAGCGAGCTATTATGTACGCTTGGACCGCAACTCACTTTCGTACGCACTCCGTGTATAGACGACGGCAAATCAATGTTTATGGCCTATCTCGCGGCGCGTCAAGAGGGTGTATAATGTACGCGTTATTACGCCGCTCGTCTCGTGCTTGTCTTATTTATCGCCCAGCGGCCTCGAATGGAAATCGCTCGAGAATTTTATAACGCGCCGCGCCAGCCCCAACGCCGAAATTTACGAGACTCGCCAATTGAATTTTCACGAGCTTGCGCTCTCGCATGTGGATGCCCAGCTGCACGCGAGAGTGAGAGTGATGTTCGCGTACGATACAGATTAATAATGCACCTATACGTTTGAGCGACAAAAGTCATATTATTACAACGATTGTACGGCATTTTAAGCCGATTTCTTTTTTTCTCTCCGGTTCGTGGCGCAGCGGGGGCAGCGAAAAATTATGCTTATATATTTTGCGTGACACATTGTACTATATATACAAACACTTCTTCCTGCTCGGCGGGGGATATAATTCAACTTTGACGATGTCGGCGGCGGCGGCGGCGGCTTCGGTGGCGGCGAGGCTAACGGTTACGCCGATATGTGCTGCGTTTCATCGGACATTAATGCGTGGGTGATGTATGCAGGTAGTTGCCAACGCAGCCGTATATATGGTCCATTGTCGTTACGAGAACCCATGCGCGTGATATAATTAATAAAGCGAACGTGAAACTGCGAGGCAGACGCTTTATGAACGTTATTATCGTGCAGTGCAGCGGTGTATACACAGGCAGGCGCGATGCCAGAGAGAGAGAGAGAGACTCTTGCGCGCGAGAGGAGCTGCTCTCTGTACGCGCGCGCCTGTACTATAATTTGGGTATGAGTTATGGAGGTGCCGCGCGCGCGACGCAATTTAACGCCGAACGAAATTTTCCTCCATAGTTAACGCATCGACGTTTTTAATATTTAGGCTACGGGGCTACTACCGACTCGACGCTAACGCTTCATTAATTTAATTGATTTTTTCGCTTTTTCAAAAGTTGCCTTACAGAACACAGCTTAAGTGCTTTATTGCATACTGCGAGCAACGTTTGTTCATTTTCACCTGCTTTTTACACCATATAGAATATTCATCATTTTTCGCTATCGTTTTTAAGCTATATCGACTAATGGAATTCTGCGTCAGTTTAACTATCTAAAAGTCATCGAACCAGTCATCTAATAAGCAAAGTCCATCAATCATTTTCAAGTAATTTGTGTTACATAAATTTCTCGGCTCGTTACGATAAGAGCAATCCTTTAGAGCTTTTTTTTATGTATTAAGCAACGTACAAGCATACTGTGTTCGCAATTGTTATTTTTCAATTAGATTTAATTTTGAGATTAGCAGCGGGGACATTTGTAAATAAAGAAATTTGTTAATAAATAACGAAATAATCGATCAATCAAGCTATGATTTTTCTTTCATGTATAAATTGCTTTTGATTTGTGAAGTATAGTTTATGACGATTGACGTTTGTTTCATTTATATTTCAATTGATAGAAATAGCAATCAATCATAGAGTGTATTTTTAATGAACTACCGAAAATCGAATCAATTTGTTTTTAATATTTTTTATAAAGTGTTCCAAATTATATTTCCACCGTATGCTTACATATTATAATTTAAATTTCACGCCAATATTTAACTAGTTAAACGTTCATTTATTTTCTAAATTTTATGATTTTATTTTATGAATTTTAAGAGAGGACAGTACGATGAGTTTTTCAAAATTAAAAAAAAAAATTTAATTTGTTTCTGATCAAAGTGCAATTGACGTAAATATTAAATTTTTATTAATAGTATCTACATGGATTTGATAATTAAAATTTTCAAATCAGTAAGAAATGTAACTCGAAAAATACTGAATCGATCCTTATCAAATTATGTATACTTTTTCATCAATTCCTTAAGCGAGTACTAAAGACGAGATATTTTTGTTTTATCAAATATTTTCGAAAATTCTACTAAAAAAGGTCGATTTTTTAGTCCAGACTTTATTACAGACGTTTTTTAACTTCATAATAATATCGGTATACTTATAAAATTCAATATAAATGAACAATTCAACGCCAGTTCCTGAAAAATTATGCCATGTGAAATTTTTATTACCAGATGATCGTGTGAAAAGTTACGAGTCTTACCAGAATTTTCATGACGTTCAGTAGATTTTCTCTTTTGAATTTTTGACTTTTTGACTTTTGAATTTCATGTGCATTTATAAGGAATAACATTGCTTTTGTAATGCTAGTGATACGATTCACATGGAAGTAAGGAAAATCGTCAAAAATAAACAAAAATTTTCATTTGAATGTTTTTTTAAACAATAAAAGTTCTACTTCTTTTATGTGAACTCAAATTAATTTAAGAAATAGACATAAATCAGGAAATTTACTAGTTTTATTGGCATCGATAATTTTCTTTAAATCAGTAATCAGAACTCACTTTTATCAAAGGGAGTAAGTTTGTTGGGCGGTATCAACACTTTCAAATGTTGATAAAAAAATAATGATGGATGAAACAAGATATTTGTCAAACTAAAGTTGAGATGAAAAAAAGTAAGCGAGAAAAAAAAATTAATTTCACTTTAAAGCAAGCTCGAAACGTCCAAGAATCGAGTCGCGTTACTGGCAACAGCTGTCAACGTCGAGCAGTCGGAGATTCTCTTTTCATTTTGTCCGTACGATTCATATTACGTACAATGCTTGTGTATACACACAAGTGCAGAACCAAAATTTATCGTGTCGTTGACGTTTGATCGATCGATGCCGTTTTCCTCGTCCACATTTTATGCTCGCAGCTCGCCTCCCGCACGAGTCACGTTATTACCATACCTCCGGTTCAAAATGATGGAGCTCGCGAAGATGCTAGCAGGAGCATTACTTTCACCGACTCAAGGCCGTCTGTATTGTTTATATATCCTTAAATCATCGGACCAATTAATAAAAGTTCGGTTAAATGCAGTTTTCTGCTGCTCGCTCGAGGCAATTCTTTTCACGCAATTTATCTTGGATGAATGATATAAAAGTGACAAAGTGAATCGCGGCTCATTGTAAAAACCACAGTTTCTCTCATTTGTTAGCGATACATTATTAAAAACTTCTTATGAGTTCGAAAGAAGATATAATTTTTCCCTGGATTAATTTGATTGTGTGAATTTGGTGGTATGTAGCGGTACATCCTCGCATGTACAAATTATTGCGAACAATTGGAAAGTGAGTAAAGAGAGAAGATGGGAAGAGGGGAGATAGTTATTTTCGGTGTATTACACATTCGCAGCGCTTAAAGTCGGTGATTGTTTTTCTCCTCCTGCGTGTCAAATCGATTCGGCCGTGCGCACTTGTCGGAGACAAAAAACAATAATGTTTTGCCTGGGCAAAGAAATACAAACGGCATCCATCGAATAAATCACAGCTGGCTTGAAGCCACTGCGTCGATTCTGTTCTTCAATTATATACATCGAAATATATGTCTGCTAGCATCGAGAATTTTGCGAATTAATGTAATACTCGGCACGCGAGCGAGCAATGTATATTTTCTCGAGCGTGTAGCATCGCTAGACTAAACGACTTTGCAATGCCCAAGTCACATTACCAATCACGATAATAATAATTATCATGAGGTTCAATATAGTAATTGTTAAATTTTTTATGTGGAATGTATTTATATATTTATTATGGTTGCTGTCATCGTGATTGCTGTGGGTTGTCAAGAAAATTGGAAAGAGAGGAAAAAGGAGAATAATTAAATAGACATTTACAATACAAAGCCAAAGACTTTTATTATCAATTATTTTTCGTAATTACGAATTATTTTTTTCTGTACTTGTAGCCTTCACTGGCTGCTGGCGGCGAACCACCTGATGACGGTGGTTGGTACGGTGCTGGAGCAGGGTAAGAAGCAGTACCTTCGTAACGAATTATAGGTCTGTAGCCATTGGCATCGGCTATATAATCGACAATTTGCATTCTACCGTCTGGCAGGAGTACGTGATAACTGCCAGTTGCTTCTTCGTCTTTGCGCATCTCGTGATGGCCAAAGTCCAATCCAGCACTGGCGTCTTGTACCTCATATGAGAATTCATAATTCACCGGATCCTGCGTGTGAAAAGTGAACATTTTTTTGCGATTCACTAAACAGCGTAAATGTATTTTGAACGCGAGTAAGGAAAGGGTTTCGATTCGCGAATGGCCGAACTGATTAGTCAAGTGTGCAGTAGAATTCAGCTTACCCCTGCCCAATCGTCCGGATGACCGGAATCGGCCTGCGGTCTTGAAGCAGCAGAAATGCCGCTTGGCGGTAGGTATGCAGACCCTTGTGGTTCGCTTCGGATTCCGACTAACATTGTCGTCAACAGCAGTACCTGAAAACAAAATGACGCATGAAACTCGCCCGATGCCAAGCCCTTGAATGTTTCCGCGTGCGCTCGTATACAGAATGATACTTACACAAGTTGTGCCTTTTTTTTGCATATCAGTGACTTTAGATAACCGTAATTTTGATGCATACGTAAGTTCATTGTTTAAAAAAAAGGAGGAATAGAATATTTCAGCAATTGTTATAATTATATATTTAATATTGTACGATTTAAGTGTTTGAGTTCAGAACGTAGAAAATTTTTTGAAAAAAGAAAAAAAGTAACGGAAGAAAAGAAGAAAATTATTGTCGTAGATGGTGTAAGTGGTGAAAAGGATCAAATGCTCTATTCTAAAACCAATGAAATTTATCGTCTGCTTTGAAAAAGGTTTTTTATACTTGAACGTTACATTAAGAAACGCGGTCATAAAAATTATTTTATTACCTCTTTTCACTGAAAACATTTGAAAGACTTTGGAATTACTTTCAAAAATGCTTGATTTGAATTATGCACTAAATGACTTTAGAATCGAATACTTTATTACGGCGAAGTATATGAAAAATTTGATTTTAAAAATAGAATTAATCTAAGGTGAGGAAGAATTTATAATAAAATTAATGAAAACTAAAAGTACCTCAAAAATCATTTGTGTGATGGCACAGGCTAAAACTTCTAGAACTAAAACTGTACTAAAGCAAAAAATGACTTCTTCTCGGAGTTTTATATTCTTGCCCCCCCCCCCAGTTGACAAACAATAATTTTTAATAGAACTAAATATACAGTCATTCAAAAAACTTACAATGTATAAATGTAGCACTATGCCTTATGATTATATTTAATAAGAGAACCGCAGATTTGTGACATAGATTGTGTCAGACTCACGCTCTGTAGCTACAATTTCGATCTCAACAAATGAATTTAGTAATACCCGTTCGTGAAGATACACTTTATGAAATCTAGACAGTGTTGTCTTCATCGTTCAAGTACTATATTTTTTAATTACTTTCAACTTCATTGAGAGACTTTGTAGTGAAAAATTTTACGAATAAGTAGCTGTAAATTCAAACAATATGTGCGGAAAAAAATTTTATTGAAGATTTGTCCAATTTTGAAAATTCAATAAAATATATATGAACTTGATTACGTAATTTATTTGCGATTATGGCGGAAATATTTTTACGAATTCAATCTTTCTCGTTATTGCAATTAATATCTAAGATGGTTGTGCATAATATTTGCGAGACGATTTTGTAAAAATGATTACCTTACTTATATGCAAAAGATTGCTCCAGCAGTTTTTCCGACGTCATCTTCCTCTTGTCGTGATACTGAATTTTTGTTGCACTATATTTTTTATACGATTCTCTGAGACTTTAAACAAATGTAAGTTCATTGCCAACGTATTTGTTGATGTTTAAAGAGCAAGATTGTTTTGATACATAACTTTGAAGGAAATATTCGAGTATGTTACTTCGAATCTATGTTTGCGGTAACAATTTATTTAAAAAGCAAACATAGGTCGACTTTTTGGTGATTGATTTTTGATATATAAATAATATTCAATTTATTTCAAGGAACGATAAGGCATATTTTAAAATAATTTATAGATTTCAAGGAACCCCGCATGATTTATTACTAATGCGGCTTGTTTTTGACTACGATAACTATACACACTTTTTTCATTCAATACAAGTTATAAGTGCTAAGTTTTATACATATCTTTTAGGATTAGATGGAATGTACTAGGTAAGTGTTTTGCATTGCAAAGTTATAAAAAGTGTTACAGTAAACTTGCATATACAGAATATTTAGAATATTTCTTACAATTAATTCTGATGCTAGCACATATTGTTATTATACAACAATTTACGTGTGACGGAAAAATTATACAATTATACGCAGTCTAAGAGTGGATAATACATAATCAATATGATATGAATTATCAGTATTGATAACCGCCATTAGCTTCGGCATCACCACCGCTACCTGCCGGATAATTGCCACCGCCTCCTTGATTACCACCACTTGGACCACCAGATGGATAACCTAGGAATATTTTTATTAGATTACTATGTTATAATTAAAAAGTGCATGAAAAGATTCTAACTAAAAATTGATAAATTTAAACTTTACCAAGCTACAATTCACTCTATGTAAAAAGTTAGAATACATATTCAAAAATATGATTTTCTTTTCAAGAAAAAAAGCATTTTTATAACAACGATCACGTGGAAAAGTTTAAAAGAATATATTGTTACAACCTTATTGCAGAATTAAAAGAACTTATCGCAAAAAATTGAGTGCATTCAAAATTGAATTTTTTAAAATTTAAAATGGTTTGCTAAATGTATCAAATAATATATCCATATTTATCTTACCATTACCACCGCCACCGCTGCCAAAATCAGACCCTCCAAATCCGCCACTGGAAGGTCCGCCAGATGGATATCCTCCGTTACCACCATTTTGACCACCAAAACCACCACTTGAAGGTCCACCAGATGGGTATCCTCCATTGCCACCACTGTTTTGACCTCCAAAACCACCTTGGCCTCCAAATCCTCCACCCGAAGGTCCACCAGACGGATAACCACCGTTACCACCGTTTTGACCACCAAAGCCACCACTTGCAGGTCCACCAGATGAGTATCCTCCATTGCCACCACTGTTTTGACCTCCGAAACCACCTTGGCCTCCAAATCCACCACCGGAAGGTCCACCAGATGGATAACCTCCACTACCACCATTTTGTCCACCAAAACCGCCACCAGAGGGACCACCAGATGGGTAACCTCCGTTGCCACCACCATTTTGTCCCCCGAAACCTCCATTAGAAGGACCACCAGATGGATAACCTCCGTTGCCATTTCCACCCTGTCCTCCAGGACCACCGGATGGATAACCACCAGCTCCGCCAGTGTTTGCTTCACCCTCGTAGCGAATCTGAGGTTTAAACCCATCTTGGTCAGCTTCATATTCTACGATTTGTTTTCTGCCATCTGGCAAAAGAACGTTAAATTCGCCCTGTGCTCGATCACCATCGCGCATTTCTGTATGCCCGAAACTACTACCTGATTGCTCGTCTTTTACTTCGTATGAAAATTCATATTTTGCAGGTTCCTGCAATTTAAATAAATTCATATCCTCGTTTGCGAAGATTTTTTCAAAAAAGTTTTTAGTTTAAATAGCTTTTTATTAATAATAATATTATTAATATTATATTATATACGTATGTCTTTGCTCATAGAAAATTGAATTTGAATCATTCGCGTAGTGTTTATTCTAGCATACTTATTTTTCAAATAGATTAACGTTGTTATTATATTAAAATAGATAAGACAATGCGTTTGAGTGAAAATTTAACATTCTTTTGAATCGTTTTATTTTTAGTAAAAATAATTGGCAATAAAAATCGATTTTTGACTACTAAGTATAGATTAAATATTAAAATAAATATTAACTCACATCATTTCCATCTTCAAATCCATTTCCACCCGGGCCTCCAGACGAGTATCCATTATTATCACCAGAAGAACCACCAGAGGAAAATCCGTTGTTTCCATCGACTGCTCCAGAGGGTGGAGGTCCATAACTATCTTGAGGTTGACCACCAAAACCACCGGGACCACCACTGCTATATCCATTATCGCCTCCTCCGCCTCCGTTACTTGGAGGTCCATAGCTACTTGATGGTCTTCCACCACTGCCTTGACCAAATCCATTTCCATTACCACCTTGTGAATTTTGAGGATAACCATTCGATCCACCACCACCACCAAATCCATTTCCATTCGAAGGTGGGCCGTATGAACTCGATGGTTGACCGCCAAAACCTCCTTGGCCATTATTTCCATTTTGACGACCATTACCGTTTTGACCGCCGAATCCACCACCATTACTACCACTATTAGGTGGTCCATAACTACTCGAAGGTCTGCCATTAGAACCACCTCCATTTCCGAAACCACCACCATTTGATGGTGGGCCATAGCTGCTAGATGGGCGGCTTGCCCCACCATTTCCACCGAAACCACTACCACTACTTGAGGGAGATCCGGAATTGCCGGGTCTCCCTACAGCACTTGATCCACCAAAACCACCACCGTTTCCACCAGAAGGTGGCCCATAACTGTTAGAAGGTCTTCCATTTGATCCTCCAAAGCCACCACCATTTCCATTTGAGGGTGGTCCATAGCTATTAGATGGTTTGCCGTTTGATCCACCAAAGCCATTGCCATTGCCGCCACCACTATTTGGTGGTCCATAGTTGTTCGAAGGTCTTCCACCGTTCCCATTTCCATTTGAAGGAGGTCCATAAGAATCGGATGGTCTTCCACCGTTTTGGCCACCAAATCCACCAGAGGACCCACCCGGTCGACCCCCGCCATTTCCACCTCCTGGTGGCCCATAAGTATTTGAAGGTCTTCCACCGTTTCCACCTCCAAAACCATTTTGTTGTTGACCACCACCATTTGAACTTCCAGGGCGATTACCGGAATTCGGGGGTCCGTAAGAATCAGAAGGTTTTCCTTGTCCACCTCGTCCACCTCCGTTGCCAAATCCATTGCCACCTCCTTGATTACCATTTCCGGAACCTCCTCCATTTTGTGGAGGCCCGTAGGATTCAGAAGGTCTTCCCGAGTTTCCTCCACCAAAGCCATTTCCGGAAGAAGGTGGCCCGTAAGAGTCTGACGGTCGGCTACTTGGTCGTCCACCTCCATTTCCATTTCCTCCAAATCCATTACCATTTCCATTTCCATTTGATGGAGGTCCGTAAGTATCTTGTGGACGACCACCACCGAAACTTCCGGCTCCCGGTGATCCAAATTCTGGTGGACCGTAACTATTTGATGGTGGGCCAAAACTATTGCCATTTCCATTACCACCAAAACCAGAACCACCGTTTTGACCACCTCCATTTTGAAAATTAGGAGGACCGTATTGATTTGAAGGACTACCACCCCCTGGTCTACCGCCACTTCCTCCAAAACCTCCTTGACCGCCCTGACCGGGAGGTAGATACGAGTTTACTGGTGGCTCTGGACGTGCCACACACAACGATAAAATAGTCAAAAAACATATTGCCTGCAAGTAAATTAAATTCAAAATAAATATTTTTTCATAGAAAAAGAAAAAAGTAAAAAAAGAGTAAAAGAAATTTTTTTTCAAAACTTCATATTTAAATTTGAATGCAATATTTAAATTTCGTATGCGTTTTTACCTTCTCCATCACGATGCGATATGTGAAACGTCAACACGTGACGACAATATGTCCAGCCACTGGACAATAACAAGAAGGGAAGTCCCACAGGGGATTCCCCTTTGACGTAGCGACACTCGCAAACGCCGTCCCTTTTACTGAGTGCACCACCGAGCAAGCGGAGCTAAACGCGAATGACAAAATCGTAGCAGTAATCGACCTTATATACTCCCCGACTCTGTCCACAGCGTTAGATCATGGATTTGGTGCAACTCTAGCGAAGATTTACAGCAAAGATCGTTATAACTGTGTCAAGACGGTGAATCTATCGTTGCATCTGCTGATGCCGAGTGTTACGTGTGTGTATGTGTGTGAGCGAGTGAGTGAGTAAGTATATACTTATGAGTACGTATGGGGAGAAAAAGTAGTGGGGTTTTTCTGCTTGAAGAGACTTTAAAATACATGTAGATATATTTTATAGCGGGCGAGAAAGAGTGAGCAAGAGAGTGCAATCTGTCGATGTGTGCAGCCTCAGTATCCCTGCGATAAAGGATTTTCATACCCTCTCTCTTCCGATGTGCCAAGAACATGAAAAATACGTATACATGTGTAGACGCTACAGCACATAAAAGTTTTAAACTGTGTACTTGTTCACGTGTGTATGCGAATATATATACACACGTATATATATATATAGTTGTATGTAGAAAGAAGTACACTTCAGTACCATAACAAAGTTAAATGAAAAGGTAACAGGAAAATCTAGGACGAGTAACGTATTCCTGCTGTATGAGCATTTTAAAGTCTTTGCTCAATGGCGAGGGTGATGAAATTAATAGGAAAACTGGCGAAATTCATGCAAATCGGTGCCGAAGCCTTAAGAGCGCTCTTCTGGCGTATAAACAATCTTGATACGTTCTTGATTTTTTTATTTAATGAAAGACCTCGCGAAGTTTTATTTTGTCAAGGATTTTTCATAGTCGCCGAGCGCAGAAGGGTTTTTGAAAATATCCGATTCGCCGCGCAACAGCGTAGTATATTAACACGAAGGCCCATGGAGCTCACGAATAATGGCAGAAAAATCTTGTTCATCGAAAATTAACTGTTCGTTCTTGTCGAGCTCATCAACTTAATTAAATTAGCACCTTGTATAGCCGAGCTAAACCAATGTAAACCATCGCATATTGGAGCATTAGATTTATCATGTTCTCCCTTTCGCTCCTTCTCTCTCGCTCTTTCTCTCATAATCAAGCAATATATCATACGCACCGCACATAAGAGAAATATATATGTACGAACACGCGCAAAATTGTTAGTACGTGCCAGCAGGATCTAAGTGGAATTAAATATCCTACCGCGAGAGAACGAGAGTTTCGCGTCAATTCAATGATCATCGGTTATTAGCAAAAGATACCGCACACATGTAATGTATATGTATGTATAATGCGAATGCATACAATGTGTAAATGCACGGCTCGTGCGCGCCCTCGGCAATCGATTAATTATTTTATCACGTGCTCCTGGTACGGCACGTTTGAGCATTACCATGCGCGGAGGCACATGGACAAATTTATACAAGAATTTTTTTAATTGAAGCCGAATATAACGAACGCAGTGATTAAGGTACACAATACTATCATCATAAATATGTGGGGTGAGCGTAGGCGACGTCGAATATATATTAGCTCGTGAGAACGACCAAGAAAAAGAGAGAGTGTAATGTTGAGAGGCGCGAGCAACGCTACGCTTCCTACAAAACGTGTGTACACATTGAAGATTATAAGTGAGCCTCGACTGCGGATACCGGACCCTTCTTCTCCTTCGCCATCGACTGACACGCGCCCGTTGCCGTTCTCTTTCTCTCGCTCTTGGGTCCTATCACGATTTCGCGCTCTCGCGCCACTTAAGTATCGTTTAGCAGTATAACCGTATCCCACAAGTACCAACCACATTGCTTCTTACTGTTTCTGACGTACGCTCGAGAGCTTCCATGTCGTCGCTACTTCATTTATTGTATAACTGCATTTTTCCTACGTCAATGTCCTTTAATTTTATTTACATTATATATCTATATATTTCAGAGCCTCGAGTAGTTCAAACCTTAAACTAATGAGGAATCGTTGAGAGGAAAGTTCAAGCTTGATTTGGCAGTTTTATGCTTCATAATATACTTCGTGCCTGTTTCAATTGATATTCTCGAGTGATATAATCTCTGTATCTACTTTATGATCATTTGGCTTTTATTTTTCAGCGACGATCCTACGAAAGGTAATAACGCTTCGAGGGTACGTAAGAAATTTAACCTTAATAAAAAATTCGTTATGACATATTTCATAAGAATATATATTGTTATTAAATTGAAGGTGATTTTTTCATGTTAAAATAGAACGAAGCCGTAAGTATCGTAATGGACCTGTCACTAGAATGCGGTGTGTGACATTTGCAGTCGTCTTAAAAGGAGATGTTCTCGCGTGAGAATAAATGTCTCGTTGTCATGAGCTTTTTTTTAACCTGGATATCAGCCATTTAACTGTATTAAAATACATTCATATATAAATGTATTTCATGCGCATATATATATATATATATATATATAGAAATATTGTATAGCAAGTCGCTGAGCGAGGTAAACATGATGCGCCGCTTGGGTAAAAAAGAGAGACGCTGCGAAAATCATAGCTCGCTCAAGGTTGCACGACGCAAGCGAGCGATCGGAACCACACACTCATACACGGCATCCATAAAGCTGAAAATGATGAAATAGAATACGAATTACACTTATAGATATATGCAGTTTCTCGAACTCCCTTTTGATTTTACGTATTTCCCCATCGATCGTTTCACATAATAGTTTTACCCTGCCGAGCCGCGCATATCACAACGTGCCATGCAGTCGAGTGTAATCTTTCGGCTCTCTTTTTCTCGCGTATTGAGCTGTAAACAAAAAATTATCTGCCTACGTGCGCATGCTCGAGCGATTTATAATCATATTATGATTTTAAAATAATAAAAACTATTGCGTCGCGGCTCATCTTTATTATTGTCGTCGTTTTGCAATCTTAATAATGATCCTAATGACCATAATTCTCCAGTGCTCGTGAAATTTCACGATATAAAGTGCAGAAAGAGTGAGACCATTATTATTACACATATGAGCGGTGAATCGTAATATATAATCTCCTTGTCTTTCTCACTCGGGATCTGCGAGAAAAGAGAAAGATCGCTAAGTTGAGCACATAATAGTTTCTCTCATCACATGCAGTAACGTCATCATATCGCATATATGGCGTCAACGAGCTATATAATGTAATGCAACAAAAATGTTTCGACCTTTTCGATACGCTCCATCCCCAAAGCTATAGCTCATTACATCAGTGCCGAAATGAACTAGGTTTATAAGAAGTTGGGCTCGAACTCGAGCTGACATCCTTTTTAAATGACTAAGCTTTCACATGCATAATAATCGTTTCGTCACTCACACGTACAAACTTGAGAAATGTACTTTTATTACTCTTTTGTATCGCACTCGCTACATTTGATGCGCTCGCTAACTCTTGAGCTCTATCGACGGTGTCATCGTTTTTATTTTGTGCAAAACGTGTTTATATTATGCCCGCGTAAACGATACACATATATGTCCGCATGATAAGTTACGAGCTCCGTTTTAGGAAGTACCCCGTGCCACTGCAATCCTCGTAAAAATGCACATCGTAAATACTTTTTACAGAAAAAATATCATGCGCGTGCCTTTTCAGTCTCTCATTGTCGTTTCATTACCGATTCAAAGAGAGAATATTATTCGTCCGAATAGCGATTTTCAAGATTTATTACTTCTAAGATTGCTCTGGTTATTTAATAACTGTTATACGTATTTGCAAAAGACTTTCTTTCTTTTTTATCGATCATTAATTACTGATCATGTATGTTATACGTTTCCTCCTCTGATAAAGTGTAAAATGTGTCACTATTGCGAATAAAAGAACATTTAATAGACTACAATTGAAAATAGTTCTTGTGATTTGTCAAGCGATCACTTTTTTCGTTATCGAATCAATTTATCTATTAGCACAACTGTAGTGAATAAAATTCACCTCCACATTCGCGAGCAAAAAAATATGTACGGCGAGAAGTTTTTACTATAAAATAGCTGAGATCGAGATTACATAAAGATCGTTTAGCTATACAACAGCTGCGCCAGTACATTGATCGTGACACTATAGATTACTCAGAGCTCAGAGCGAGCAACTGCTGCTGCTGCATGTGTAGCGAAAAAATCTCATCAGACGATGTCTCTATTACATTTGTGTGTATATGCACTGCTACCATGACCTTTACATATTCGTCGCGCTCGGTGGCACTCTACAACTTGTAAGTGTCATCGCCATACAGAGCCGGAGGTGATAATTCTCAGCGATCCGCACGGAATTGTGCAGATATACTTGTATAATAAAGCGGTTGCATAGTTAAACGATGCGATCGCGAACTCGAAGCACGACAATGGCTCACGTGTACGCGCGATGCCAGCCGATAGCTCAACTTTCATCGGATTACGAGCGATATAATGACGTTTTACGCAGTCTGCTAATGTTGCAAATGTCTCCTTTTTATGCGACTCTCGCTCTCGTACCTGCGACGGGATCGATCCTTTCTTCCTTATATATTGGTACGATCTCTATAGATATTCTTGTTACTCAAGTCATAAACGCGCACGTATGCTGCTATAAGCGAGTAGTGCATGCCGCGTCGCCCACGCGCACCGCTCGTTTATCAACGCGCTGCACCGGTAAACCGAGAAATCGAAAGAAAGAGAGGATACAGGCAACGACGTCAGATCTATGGGAGGCAATCAATTCAAGAGTCGCAGCCGGCGTACACACGTTGTTGCAGTCTTCGAGCACGAAAATCAAATCGCGTGAAAAGCCTCGCGAACGTCTATTGCTATATAGGCAAGTGATAGTGATATTTTTAATCGAAACATCCCTCGTTGGTATTGTGACATTTTTATTTCTTCGTTAGAAAATAATAACAAT